AGGTTAGACTTTCCTGTTTGCAGTTTGAGGTCCAAGCACTAGCTTTGCTGTTATTCCATCTGTTTCTAATCAAATCGGCATTCTTGACCCTATGGGGAGCCTGATCTGATTCCTAGCCATTTCAGTAATAGTCTCTTTGATATCGTGCTGTTCTGAAAACTTTATTTTGTGCCTTGCCTGGTGTGTGCGTTTGTATGGAGTGATGCCAAAAGATGGTTAGTTTTGTGAAGGATTCTGTCACAGGTGTAAGTAATAGAAGTAAGGTGCTACATCAGTGAGACTTTAGATGTGCAGTCATGTTGAACAAAGTAAGAAAAACATTACAGCCTGTTGGTATCTTTAGCTCCCCGCGGAGCATATGCTGGGTGATTAAAAGAAAAAGAAGTCTGTGTTGTTACAAATATGCTAAAGGAACAGGTCCTGCATTGTACTTTCTGTGTCGGAAGAACCACCGCGTGATGCCATTTTAATATTTAATAAGTTTTCATTTTATCTGTGAATCTTAAACACCATTAAAGCATCTACCAAGGCGATAAATTAGTGTGTGGTACTTTGTTCTTTGGTCACTGTTCTTTGTTCCAAAAGGTGTTTTTCTAAAATGTCTAAAGGCTCCCCCTGTCAAAGGAATATTATCCACCTGCTAGATTTTAAAATGTAAATTTATTAGGCTGCAGAAATAAATTTGGAAGTAGACTAACTTGTTTAGTAGTCCTTCTCAAAACGCAAGTGTTATACTTTTTTATGTACTTCTGTCCATGCGAGAATTTTCCAGCAAAAAAATACTGAGGGCAATATGACTTCCATCTATCCTTACTTCTTCCCTTCCGCATGCCCCATCACAACATTTCCCTTTGTTCTTGCACCACAAAAGAAACTCTTTGATCTTTTTTATATTAAGTATTTCCAGGCTTGTATTGTGCAGGAAGAAGAAGAAAATTGATAGCATGTGGTCATAACGGGTCAAAAGTGAACTTTATGATTCAGAACAGTTGGTAAATAACAAATAAATCATTGATTGCCAGAGACTGAGAATCAAATGACGCATTTAATGTTCATTTATATATTATTATTCCTTACAGCTTTAAAGTTTATGGACACTCATATGTGCAGGTCTACGAACTTTGTGTAGTTTTATAGCAAGTCATTTGGCTCACGTTGCTGTTGTCTCCTTGGTTTCTGAAGTATTTTTCCTTTGTCCTCTCCACGTTTGCTTAGATAAATACCCAGATGTTGAAGAAACTCGCATATTTCAGTGGATTGGAAGGGCAGGGTATATATTTATCTAAGGTGTTGGCCTTTCCTGTTCAGTATCCCTGAATAAAAGGGGGAATTTTAATGAATAAAGTTATTGAAGGAAAAACTTCAGTAACATTACTCTTGGAATGATAAAACCCAATATTTGTATTTCCACCAACCTTGGGATTTCATTTTGAAATTAAATATCACATGTTCCAAAACCAGGTTTCGTTTTTAAAATAACCAGTTTCGTAAATCTGGGTAACTTTCACATTGTTTACACTCGCAGTCCAGTCTGCGACAGAAGTTAGGATTGTGTTTAGAGCCAGATCATGTTCTAAAAGAAAGAAAATGCAAACGTATTGCATTTTTCTCTTCGATAAAAAACACATTTTTCTAACCAGCCTCACTGTTAACAAGTGATAACAGTAGGCCAGTAGTGTACTTTAAACTTAAAATTTCACCCCTTTTCAAGATGCCAGTCACAGAACTGAAAAGCTAACAAGTCTTATCAGGAAGAGACGGAATTGAAAAGCGAACGACTCTTGTGTTTAGGCTGCGTGCCTTCTGTCTTTATAATTGTTACTTTTTTCTTGAAGAAAAGAAGAAACCCTTAGGCAAAGTATGATTCAAACTAATGGCTTGTAGGAACATGATATTTTTTTGTCACTTACAAACCAATTGCTTTGAGGTATTCTGGTTGAGCTTTTGTTTTGCAGTACTCTTTTTTTTTTCAGATTTCCTCCAGAATGAAGGCGTGCTGATGGTTTCATGGTTTTCTCTTGTGCCGTGTTCTCACTGCTGTAATGTTTATATCAAATACAGGTGTCTCAGGGAAAGGAGGTTGGGATGTGGTAGAAGAAAACATTTGCAATATCCAGCAGATCCTGATAAATGACTCCCATTTGCTGTTGTCCTCCTTGTTTTGGTCTCATTAGTTACCTCTTGGCTGATGGGCATGTCCGTTAAGAATAAAAAAATTATTAGTAAAACATCTGATATTAAAATAATACGAAGTTATTGATGTGTTATTAATTACGAGGTAAGGCACTTGAGGATATGTGAGGTTAAAGACAGCGGGGGTAAAAATCAAATGTAGGCGAATCCCCACAAACACACACATCAAAAAAGCAACTGCTTGGGTTTGTTAAAGGCTGAGACAACGGTGACTGATTGATTTTCACAAATGCGCCCATGAAGAAATAAACTAAACGCTCCCAGCCTCCTCCAGAGACCGGAGTATCTCGGGTGCCCGGTGTGCCGTGGGGGCTTATTAATGGGCTGGCCGCTTGGCCAAGGGTAAGGAGGACAATTAAGTTTATCCAGTGCCATATGCTGTCCATCACGGCTCAGACAGGGGACAAAGCTGGGGCCAGTACTGGGGTCTAACCTGGGATTGCCTCCGAGTCGGTGTGAGGGGGGGGGGAGGGGAGTGCATTTGCCCCAGTGAGAGAGGAGCCCAGGAGAGTTTCTCCTGGTTGAGTTCATAGGCTTCACCTTCGCCGCCTCTGTGCGTAGTGTTGCCAGGCTGCCCTGCCAGGCAGGCTGGGTGCCTGTATCCCTCTGCACTGATGTTTCAGCGTGAAGGCTGCGTTCATTTCCATGGGCCACATCAAGGCTTGCAGGGAGGGGATCAGGTGTCTTCCAGATACAATCTATAAATATATATAGCCTTATGTCATTTTTGATTTTTTTTTTCTCCCCCAATACTGTCTGACCAAGGAGTGGCACTTCTGTTTTCTGTTTAAACGATGTGACAAAAAAAAACACTGTTTTTAAGAGGCAGATTTGCTTCTATATCCTAACTTCTCAGTCTTGCTCCTCTTGGCTGCTTCCAAAACCCAATTAATCATCTGTGTTAAATCACGGCTGTTTGTACCTGAGAGTCACTTGTTTTCAGACAGAGCCTGGAATCGCTGTGGAACTCTGCAGGACTCTGTGACAGGTTCTCAGAAGAGCCTTTTTATTAGTTATTTCATGTTCACTGTTTCACCATGTTAAAGAAATACACTGCTTAAAAATAATAAAGGATCAAAAATAAGAACTCGGAAGCTTACGATGGCTGTGAACTTCATGCAGCTATTCTCTAAGATACCTTTTTTAAAATCTGCACGTCCCAAAATAATCGAAACATGGGATTAGTTATGTTCTCTGTCATGTCTGGTTCAACATATTAAATGATTGGAGCATTTTTAATATTTTTCAAAAGGAAATATACTCACTTTCAGCTTCACGCCTGTAAGGAGAAGTGCTGTTTTTCTATCTTTAATCATGATGTATTATTACAAATTGAAAGGTACGAGTGGCTCGTTAAATGCAGGGATTGCTGTTGATCTGCAGGTGATTGGGTGACATGTGGGGTCTGTTTTTAATTTGCACAGTGTTCTGATTGTAACTGAAAGAGACATGCTCCTTTTTGTGGCATGGAGTTATAGCTCTGCTTCCATCTGGATTTCATGAAGTCCGAGACCACATCAGTCGTGTTTTGCCACAGAACCCCTTTGATCCTTGAGGGTTAGACTGGCATGGGCGCAGCTACATAACTTGCAGTTTCATTTATGTTCACCCGAAGTTAAAAGGTACAAAAACAAAGTAAAAGAACAGACTGTCTTTCTCTCTCTGGAGTTTTGGTTTCCTTAGTGCTTTTTGCAAAGTGTTTAATGTTAGGATATTTTTTATTTCATTATCGTCTGGGAATGAAAAAACACACAGTCCAAAAAACAGCTGCTTAGTATTTCTTCGGTTGTATTACGCGTTTGGTTTTACTTTATAATTATTAGCCAGCTTTAATAAAAGGGTCTTTAGGGGTTCCATCATTTAATTCCAGGTGTCATTGAATGTCCATCATGCAATGGGAAACGAACTAAGAGAGATCTGTGGTACTTTCTCACATTAATCAACGCTCTGCTTCTGCTCTCATTGCTTCTCTGTGACTTTGCTACAGCCCTGCCTGTCTTTTTGCATTGCGACATTGATGGATTATCCATCAGCTTCGGCATATGTTACACGAGTTGGAGCAGCAAAAAGACTGAGGTTATTAAGTCTGATTTTGCCTAATATGTTAGAAAGGCTTTGTGACAAGAGTCTCAGTCCTGCCAGTTTTCATGGGCGGGTGTCAATGCAGGATGTAGTCAGCATCCTGGGATTTTGCTCTGTGTCTCTTGACTTCTCTCAGACAGCTAAAGTTGAATATTTTGGCCACAATTTAAGAGGTCCCTCCTCCATTTTGACTTTTTCCCCTAAATAATTGGAGTTGGTCTTTTGCCAAAATGAGATGCTCACGCAATGCCATACAAAAGAAGGAACGTTTCACTCCCTTGAAATGGGTGGTCCTGTAACAATTGGAGAAGCTAGCTGTATTTTTCTTTTCTAAAATCTGCCCAATGCAGATGAATCACGAGGGGAGGATGAAGACAGGGATTTCTCTTTAGAAAGAAATATCCTCAATCTGGATTTAGAACGGCATTGATCTTTGGCCTGCAGAATGTGACAGCTGCTATAATCGTGCTTCAGATTATGGGATTTTTAAAGTTCATCAATAGAAAACATTTTGAGCCCTCCCGCCTTTGTGTTTCTTAGTTCAAAACCCCCAGATGTATGTTTCTCCTACTTATGGTTTGGAGCAGTTCCCGGCGAATGTCGAATGTGTTAAGAAATACACTTGAAGTTCTGAAAGCAGGTAGTGTGGCTTTGCAGCACACAGAGTGTTTTGACTATGTAGATCAAGATGTTGTGTAGTAACTTCTCCGGTTTTCTTTGGGTAGGTGTACGCACCTTCGCCAAGCTCGGATGACTTCAACAGAGATTCTCCCAGTTACCCGTCTCCCAAACCTCCCAGTGGCATGTTCGCAAGCACTTTCTTCGGTAAGTAAAATTACAGCACTCCCCCGGATTGCTTTCGAATGTTTCCTGTAGGGATGTTGGTGAAAGCATCTTAAAAGAAGATGAGAATTGTTTTCTGTTAATGTTTAATCTGACGGTGTCTTTTTTTTTTGCTAAAGATTTCCTGCAGCTTAAAAAGTCCTGTTTTTTTAACTTTTTCCTAATCTTGTTAGTTCCACCACACAGTTAAATAAATAACTTTTTTTTTTTGTTCTTTTGAAAATGCTTTCCCTGTGAGATTATTTGGGCAGAGGTCTTTATTCAAAATATATGGTTTGGCTCCTCTGTAGGTTTGTGTTTGCATTGAAACAATGGACGAGACCTGGACGTCGCTGAACCATTGTAGAACACATATAAGGCAGAAAATAGCTTTGGAAAATATGTTAAATCTAAGCTATTCTATTCGGCAGCAGACAAAATGTCTCTGTCCATGTAGGGAAGGAGCCTATTTCTAATTACATTTTGAAAGAAAGTTGTATGTTATGAAGCATTTTTTGTTTCCAAGGACAGACTCCTGTTTTCAGGCCGCATGAAATTTTTGCCCTTCTGCTCAGCGTAAATCAGATTGCACTCAAGGTCTTTACAATTAGTAGGGGGAAGCTTTGTGTTTTCTCAGCTGTGGTCAGGACTAGGTTTCAATTTCGGCAATAAAACAGAGGTTTTCAGGATACCAGTGTTATCCTGGTCTAAAAGCAGAGTTTTTCCTGTATTTTCAGATCAAGACATGCTGTATATAAGAGTGATAAACACTATGTTGAATGTTAAAGCGCACTTTTAATCATATCTAAAAGCAGCCTAAAAAGTAGTGGTTTAAAAAGCTATTTGATTGGGATAAAATAGTTTAGCTTGACCTCTGTGTAAACATAACTGGGAATTGTAATTTTAAAGAAGCAGAACGAGCCGCAGGCTTGTAAAAGCATCTCTTTGTGATAAATGTCTTTTTTTTTCATTTCATTGTAAAATCTCTTTGGGACCGGAACTCTTCTTCATTCTTACTTATTTTTTTTAATAGATGGGACCCACAATTCCTCTGACCTTTGGAATTCGTCCAATGGGATTAGCCAGTCAGGCTATGGGGGAATGCTGGGAAGCTCGTCCTCTCACGTGTCGCAGTCTGGCAGCTATGGCAGCCTACATACACATGACCGCTTGGTAAGGCAGCTCTGTGTGTGCCCCCCCAGGCCCTTCATCTTTACTTGGCTCTGCGCAAGCGTCTCCAGCTATCTAACAGATCTTCGGCTGTCTTAAGTTTTAATTGTTGTAGCTCATTTCTTCAGGTTGTTTTGGAATGTTAAATATTACTAGAGATTTAAGCCTTCTGACTTTTTTTTTAATTCTGACATATTTCTTATAATAATGACCTAACGTCTGCTTGTTTTCTCTCTATAAAAGAGAGATACTGGTATAAAAAGAACAGGGTTTGAACTTATTTTTACAGTTCTGGAAATGTTTTGATTTGTGAAATTCTCTTGTGTATGATTACAGCTATCTTATACGGTAACTATACTAAAATATCTGTGTGATTGATTAAGCATTGCGCGGCGATAATATAAATGGGGCTGAGATATGATTTAACTAACATTGACATCTTTGTATCGGTTCTCAGCCGTGGAAAAAAGCCGGTCTGAAAGGGCATTAGATCTAATCTGGCAATTAAGACGCATTAATGGATTTGTACCCATAGGTTTAAGTGATCCCTTTCTGTGTTAGACCTGTGAAGTGGTAATTCGGGAATAACAGTATTGACAGGTTTAAAGGGAACATGTCAAGTAAATCATTTTTAGCTTCAGGATCCATCAGTGTAGCTGCGGTTGACCTTTGTGAACACGGGGAAAGAGGTCTGGGATTGTGGGGCCCTTCTGGAAATCTGCTTCGCTGTACAGGACTCTCAGTTCGTGGTCCTCTGTTCAAGATCAAGGCTTTGTCAATACGTTGCCAAGTTCTATTCAAAGTATTTTTTCTGCGTGACATAGATATCAAAGGGCCTTCTCTGATGATCTGTCCTCTCAGCCTACGCTTCTTAGCCTCCTCCTTCATCCGAGCATCTTACCCTCATTTTGCTATAAACACTCGATTATGTTCATTTACCAGAGTGTAGCATGGGTGGTGAGGGTGAGGGGGTCTTTTTTTATAACTAGCCCTAAAGGAATGGCTGCATTGCCCACTGTTTTTTTTCCACCCCTCTGATTCTTCCTCAGTAAATAAATGATAAAATCCTCGGCCTGCAGCCGTTCACCTCCCCTTCTCCCCCCACCAATAGGTACCTCTCCTGCGAGAGTGGGGCAGACCGGCGTAGTTTGTACATTCGCTCCTCTGAATTTCTGCTTATCGCGTCCGTGTCTGGTTATCACCTCTGCCTGTTGCTCTGCCCGTATCCTAGTTCCATCTCTCTGCCGAGCGCTGCTTGTCGGCCTGCTTGCGGTGACCACTGCACAGTGCTTGAGGCTGACCTGGGGTCAGAATGAATTTGCAGCTGCTGCTTCCCAGCTCTTGGTCTCACCGCTCAGTGAAAGTGACTAGTGCTGGACAAGGAGGCAGCTGTCTCCTGCCCGTAATACTTGTCTGTCAATTGTCCTGAGTTCTGGGTACAGACTTGGTGACCTGTGAGGCCTGTTAGCATCACAACGACAATTGTGTCATCTGTTGACATAAATAGGACTAGCCGTCATTTCTAATACTTCACACTGCTTATTAACCTGGCTAAAAGACAGACAGTAGAAACTGACTGTACTGCGTTTTCCTCCTCTAAAGAGAATATAGTTAAAGATTTGGAAAATACTTGCGGTTATAGTTTTCTGTAGAATCAAACTGCTTTTAGTTGCGCTTTCATCTTGTGGTGTATGTTTCCTTTTCCCCAGAACTACCCGCCACACTCGGTGTCCCCAACAGAGATCAACGCCAGTCTTCCGCCCATGTCCAGCTTCCATCGCAACTCCAGCACTTCGCCCTACGTCACCACTTCTCACACTCCCCCGGTCAACGGCACCGAGAGCGTTCTGGGTAGGCCGCAGACCGCCGTCGGAGCAGAGCCCCCTGCCTTAGCAGGAGAGCTTACGGAAGCAGATACGCAGGATAGGGTCTTTGCGTGTGCTGTTAGGGTTGCATGCCAGTTCACAAATAAAATTTATTTGCTTGCTTTATCCGCTTTAATATTTAAATGCTTATATTTTAATTAAAAAATGTTTTTTTTTTTAACCTTGCAGCAGGAAACCGGGGAAATGCCACTGGAAGCTCGCAAACTGGAGATGCACTGGGAAAAGCTCTGGCTTCAGTAAGTACAAAGCAGTCTTTCATCTGTCTGTCACTTCTACTCTTATTGACCAGACTCTCTTTCTGGAGCAATTTAAAATTGTTCTGTTTTATACATCCTGGTATTTTATCAAACATTACGACTGCAGTGCCCCACCCAATTGTTAAACAAACAGCCAGGGCACTAACCATTAATCATTCCTGCTGTCTTTACCCAAAGGCTGGTGGGAGTATGAAACAAGCTACCCAATCATTATGCTGATTGATAACTTGGTTTCTTTCAAGAAACTGCTGGATGACATCCTCGGGGGAATTAGCTATCAACAACCAAACAGGCTGGCTTGAATGGCTGAATGACCTTCTCATGTTCATAACCTTTCATATGATTTTATTTATCATTTATCAGTGTTTTTTTCAGACGTCTGCATGATAATATCCTTATTAATAATTCCTTGCACTTCTCTTGTTTGTGACAGCCCCTATGCCTGAAAGGCATGAAATAGATGCTGTCTGTGCAGTGTTTATGCGTCTTTGCTAAAATGCATATTGCCGATTTGTTATCTGGAGTTCAGAAGCTGATTCATGGGAGACGAAGCCCATGTTAAGCTGGTTACACAATAATTGTGAATTGAATTATCTGCATTGTAGTCTTAGCCTTTTGTTGTTGTTTGATGTCTCCACTGCTAAACCTAATTTCCTAGTAATGCCTGATGCTGTTCAATGCTGTAACAACTTCTATAAGGACAGCCAAGAGAACGTTTGTGTTCCTCTGTTTCTAATGTCTAGATTGTCTCAGTTTTTGCACTGCTTCGTTTAGAAGAATTGTAGAGAAGATAACATTTTCTCAATTTTCTTAGTGTTCAGTTTTTTTATTGGTTGATGAAATGGTTTACAAGCAAAATATACAGTTTTTTTCCCGTTTTCATTTAGCTAACAAATGCACTTGTTTAGAACTCTTTACATTAGGACAGCAGAGATCAGGAGTTAAATTCAGAAATATATTTATTCAAATCAAAATTAGTTTTGTCATTACAGAAAAACAAAAGCAGTCTGTGCAGAAATATTACTTCCTTTTACTTCAAAAAATGAAATCAAATCAAATCTCAATTTTAAAACCGGTTAAAGCATTGTTTTGTCAAACTTTTCTCACATAAATTGAGAGATAATCTTAACCTTTCCTTTTTATAAATCTCACTCACAATGTTCAGATCATGGAGGTTCTTTAATAAGCCAGTTTGTGATTGCTTTTTTACTCGAAGCTAGAAGAAATCCTAGTATTTATATCTGTCTTTTTGTTCAGTGTGATCAAATGGAAAATTTCCCAAATACATACGTTTCTTTGTTTTACTTGTATTTTGGGGCTAATGAAGAAACCATTTTTTTTCCCAAAGACATTTCTCCATGTATGTGGATTTTGTTGTGCTTATATGTTTAAATTTGCATATACTCTTCCAGTGATATTATTTACATATATTTAGAGCCTTTTTCATGTCCATAGTACTCGTGAACAACTTTGATATTATTCTATTCTGATTACTTTGTTGATAAGCAGGTATAAAAAAACATGATTTGTTCATATTTTGGAAGTTTGTAACACATGAGGGCACTTTCCAAATAGACCCAGTCTTTGGGGGTGTTTCATATAAGGCACAATAAAGGTACACCATTTCCTATTGAAGTTTCCTTTGAATTGCCTTGAAATATGACACTGTCCTTCAAGCTGGAAGATCATAAGAGTGATAACAAATGAGAAGAGGCAATTCTGCCCGTTTATCCTGTTAGGTAGTTAGTTAATGTAGTAGCTAATTAGAAGAAGTAGGCTACCAAACTTTCTTTTTCACAAAAGCGAAAAAAAATCAAGTGATTGGTTTGTAGTGAATTTGTTATATAAAGTGAGCTCATATCCAGTTAACCACCTACCTTTAATTAGGGTTAAAAAGGTTTTTATTGTGTTTTCGGGATTTAGCTGGTAATTGGCAGCCCTGTGTTAAACTGAGACATTTTTTTTTCCAGGTGAAAACCTTTAAGGTTCTGTTTTCAACTTGAGGCCGACTAGTCCCTTTCAGTATTACAATAAAATAAGAGCACCTAAGCAGTGCAGAAAATTCCAAGTTAGTGGTCATTTGTAGAAAAAACTGGCCATGCAGAGGTTTACAAATTTATGGGCAGAGGAAATCAAGGCCAGCAATGTGTAATCTGACTGGTGGGTGGGCACTGGTTACCACGGTAACTTGATTTTTGTCATCCTGTGTTGCTGCTTGGCAGGAGCAGCCAGGTCATTCCATAAATCATTTCTGTCATAGCTGATGGTGATGCATTCCATCTGGCCTATCAGTGCATTCCACAGTCACTGCATTTCAAACCCCACACTCGCACATCTTCACAGATTTCACTCAAATACTGGAACGGAGAAGAAACCCCAAAACAACAGGTGAAACAGCAAGAGGCCGTTGCCATTGCGGGGTTATCACCTCAAGTGTTAAAAATTGCGTGACAAACGCAGGAAAGGTTTGGAAGAGGAAAGACGTGCCGCGCACACAACGCTCGTGTACACCTCGATTCATTCTGTCTGTTAAAATTGTAGGAATTTTTGTTGTCCCCACCTCTCCCGCCTCCAGAAACTGTTCAGACCATAAATTGTTTGCAGCCTTGGTTGCTGATCGCGGTGCTTTAAATTGTTGGATTACACGGGACACACTTAAAATCATTTAGGGATTTTCCGACAGAATTAACCTCTGCCATCAAGCGCACTCAGACCAAAGGATGGATGATAAATTAACCATTCGCCATCCCACTTTGAAAAAAAGCAGGGCGGCTGTACTGAGTCATTCTTGCATGTGATAGCTCTTTTTTTTTAGAAATTGATACTGCACGCAAAAATAATGCCCTACTTCAAACTTCAAAGAAAATGACCTTTGTTGTTATGACTGGGTATTAACCGCTATCCAGAATACTATGTGATTAAACATGTAAGGCCAGATAATACATTTGCAAATGTTTTTTTGGGCCTAAGCCTGGATAATTGTGGTCTTAATCTCAGAGTATGCAAGAAAGGGAATTGTACATAAAAGTATTTACTCAGAGTTCCCAAAGCCCATGGATTATGCATTAGTTTGGATAATCAACCAGCCTTGATAGAAGCAAAAGGAAAATCTGGGTATTCGTGCCGTTTCTAATGTGTTTCACTGAACACTTGCCAAACAATAACCCTTTAAGATTGTGCCCGTGGAGGGCTTGTGAAGGCTAAAAACATCTGGTATTTCTCAGTGCCTAATGTCAAATCAAAGCACACTTCACTCTTTAAATTCCCAGAAGATCAAACGGTGAGAGCATTTAACTAACACTTTGTTTGTTATACCAGCTCTGTCCCTGAGAAAGTTTGCTTTGATTTTTTTTGCCATACCTCGGAACTCACTGAGCGGCAGATCGCCTTTAAGGTGCGAGTGTGTGTTTGGGGGGGGGGGTACGCTGGCTAATAGCTTTTTGGCACAAAGGAAAAAGGAAAACATAGGGAAGTTGACTACAAAAAAAAATAATAATCACAAATTAAGTCTTTTTGTATTCGCAGACTCCATTCTATTTGCATGACAAAGCTGATGTGAAATGTACACTGAGGGGCTGGGGGAGACGGGGGGGCTCTGGGCTCGGGGGTTCGCCTCTGCAGGCTGCCCATTGAATGTCCTTTGTCCGGACCCTCTTTCAGGGGGCTCTCGTTATTGGCACCCCGCTGGCTGGAGCGGAGCGTGACCGATGGGGAGGCGGGGTCTCATTTGTTGTTGTAAAATGAGTCGTGTTACAGTTTAAATCTAGCAGAAGGCGCAGGAGACGGCGAGAGCCAGCCCGGGCGCGCAGCGGGTCGAGAGTCAGTTACATAAGCTGAATGCGAAGCAGGCCGCAGAATGCATTTGTCACGTTAATTCTGTTTTGGGAGAAAAAAGGACGGGGGAGATGCATCATTGCCTGTTCTTTGTAATAGAGCTGCAGGCGTGTCACAGAGCTCAGAGCAGCGTTTCAGCCCAAGTGGTTAGGAAGTTGGAATTTGTAGAATGAGGACAATTGCCTATAATCTATAAAGTATATAACACATCCGGTAATCTTATTCGTACAGACCTTAAAGAATCCTCCACCTCTGTTTTTTTTTCTCTGAGTTTACTAAAAGGTTTAAATACATGTATTTTGTATCAGAAACATTTTTAAAAAGTTACCATTTTTACCATCAGTGCTGCGTTGTTGAATGATAGTGTGGCATTCAGCTTCTTTAATTATATTTTAGATGTTAAACTTGCAATTTTCTTTCCCCTTCAACTGCAAAAAAAACAGGTCAAAGGTATCCATTTCCTTTATCCTTTGCGCTTTAATTGGTGATAATACTGTTTTCTGCCATGCAGTTAATAAGAGAAAAAAGGACTCTTTACAGTATAATTACCACATACAATGTGTTTTTTGTTTACAGGTCAGTTTGTAGTAAGAAACCTTTTGTGTGAGGTATGCTAGAAATGGGTTATTAGCCTTACATTCTGTACTATTTTAAATGAAGAACAGAGCCATAATGATGAGTTGCAGTATGAGACACAGAGCTGGATTGGTAGGGTTGTTTTTGTAAGCACCATATGCCAGAAATTTTAATATGATCACAGTGTTATTTGTGAGAGGTAAATACAGAAATCATGACAAATCTAAATTGCCTTATTTCATCACTTCATGTAAGACATTTGAAACACAACAAATTTAATATCTGTGAATGCGTGCTTAGTGCTTTCATTTGTAGGTTCAGAGCAAAATGCAAAACCTGACCAAAGAAGTTCCCTGAATCCAGTGATCAAGATTTTTCAAGATCTAATGTGTTTGAAATGTGGTTTGAAATGCAGCGTTGATTTATCAACATAATAACTAGTTGTTAAGTTTTAATTAAGGCCTTAACAGCATGGTACATCACACATCTTTTAAGTTTAAAATATTAAAATACAGGCTTCAGCTTTCCTTGATCATACAGTTTCTACCAGTGGTGCTATTAGTTTCTGTTCCTAAAAATTATGTTTTTAAAACCCCTGGGACAAATAAAACTTAAGACCTCAGTTTTGTTTTGTTTTTCCATCCCAGTTTTTCCCCAGATCTTTTAAAAGCCATTACAGGAAATGAACATCCAGTTTCTCTCGGAACGTAAGGCGTTTCTAGTGCCCTGGGGGACACTGTTGAGAACTAATTGAGAAGTGTTGTGAAAGAACTGAAGTTGACCATATTTTTAAAAGCTAAATAGGCTTTTCTGGTAAGCTGCAAATTGATGATTTAGACCCTCTGATTGAGCTGTTCTCTACTACTGATCCTGCTGGATGTGCTATGTGTTGTAGAACTAATTAAATGGATAGAAACCTAATACCCTAGTCTTCAGAAGATATTGTCCATTATGTGGTGGAACACCTTCTTATCAAATGAAGAAACAGTGAAGCTTTGCTCATTATAATCCATCTTTTGTTTAAACAAACACAGCATAGAGCACTCTGGCATTTCATAGATTTTTTAGATTTAATCTGGGTCTTTCAACTCTTGCATACATGAAATGGTTTGCAATCCCCTTCTCTGTTCCTTGCAAATCTGAAAAGAAAAAAAAAAGCCGAGCCTTTCTGTGCGTTGACGGTGTCTTTGTCGGAGGCGTGCTTTGTTTTCCAGATGAACACCCGACAGGTCATTTATCTAGAAAAAAAAAAAGGCAGAGCCTGCCATTATCTGGCAAAACGTCTCCGTTGCTAATAGCAAGGATCAAATGACTGTGTCATTTTATTAGATCACATCAATAACTAGATCTCACATCATCTCCCTGTGCTGCACTCTTCTGCCAAGGAAAGTATTACAATGGGATAAGCACAGGGGTGGCTGCTCTAGCAACAGAACTCATTCAGACTGATGAGTAAAGAAGAGAGATTAATGATGCTGAATGTTCTTTTTGTGCCTGGCATTCTCCACTTTTCTCCTCCCTCATCTCTGATTGTGTTCCACAGAGGCAAGCAGAGTGTGTGCGTGTGTAATATTGCAGCGCATGTTAAGATGATATTAATAGGATTTAATGGAGATTTGAGTCAAGCTGCAGCTTCCAAGTATTAGGGATACTATTTTTACTTTTTCAGCAAGGGTGGAAATGCGTTTCCTTAGCCTTGTTTGAGAATAATGATTTTTTTGTGTGTTTACAAATCTTAAAGGGCATAATACACACCAGAGAAAAGCTGCATGATTTGCGCATCGTTCTTAATTTAAGAAGAAAAAAAATGAGGGGAAATAGATTTTCTATATTCATGTTGCTGTAAATTATGAGCGCTGTGGATTTGGTAGACGGTATTGGAGAACAGGCTTCCCAGTGTTGTTAAGGACCCATATGTATGCAGTGAGCATCTTTATAGCCTCTCAGGTAGTAAAACAGCCACAGGATTGATGAGCCAATTTTGGCTACAAGCAGGCTGAAGGGTGACAATAAAGGCTATAAAAAGTATCAGGAATGACAAATTTTGCTTTTACAGTTGTGTGTGTTATTTATTGACAAATTCCTGTCTTTCTCCTTTGTCAGATTTATTCTCCTGACCACACCAGCAGTAGTTTTCCATCTAATCCATCAACGCCGGTTGGGTCTCCATCTCCTCTCGCAGGTACAGTACACACTCTTCCAGGCAGCGGGACAGCGCAGTGTGGTGCTCTGGTGTCGGCAAGCAGGCTGGGGTCACATCACCAGCACGAACAGATCGCACAGCTGCAGGGCTTTGAATGTTAAGAGTGTTTCAAGCCTTTCCTGGTATATCACGCTGCTTTAATAAGTTCAGTCAATATATATGGTTTTAAAACAACTACCTCAAGGTTTGCATGTACTGATTTTATTGACACTGTGTGTTTGGAGAGATGTTTGGAGAGTTGTGCTGCAAGCCTCTTGTACAGACAATTGCTCTCATGCTGGATAGAGATTGTCTGCACCTGTCATGGCTTGACATTTTGTTTTTTTAAGGATTTTTTAAGATTTGATCCACTTGTATGGCTTTTTAATCGATTAATAAAAACAAGTATGCCTTTGGTTTCTAGACGTGGCTTGGTAAGCAGGTAAGTTCATTCTATCTCCATGCCACAGCAGCTCGTTGGAACATCCTCTGGTTTTGGTGGGGTTAAGGGAACTAGAGAGCCAATGAGTGGACAGGGCACCAGTCCACCGCAGGGATCACCCCCTCTAGCAATGTTGATCCCCCACTTACACAGCTGGGTGGACTGGAGCCACTGGGATAAAGTACCAACTGCGCCCTTGTGCACCACCCACCAGTTGGGAGAGCAGAGATTTTCCCAGCTATGCTAAAGGGTTTAGATTTGTAATCATGATTATTTTAGTGGCATGTTTGGCTATGGGGAAGAGCCACGTGTGACATTCAAGGTGAGAACCTGGAAGCGTGTGGAGGTTTTTGTGTAGTGATGGGAGAGGGCTCCAGAGAGGCGGTGGCGGCACAGCCAGCTGTCTCTTCCTCCCGCTCTCTGTCTCCCGCCCCTGTCCTCAGCTGCCTTCGCGCCAGGACACAGCTGTTCCTCCTGCAGACAGGCCGGCCCTGGGCTCATTGATTGAAACTGGTTCAGGGGGAGCTGGAATTGCACAGTGCTGATGTAACTTCAGCCCTTTCGGCGCTGATCACTCTCTTCTCCAACTCCTGCACAATGGCTGTATGCTGTTTGAAGGTGGGCGTGATGCGCTGTGTGTGCATTCCTGATGTTCGAGTTGCACACTGCGCCGCTCTGCTCTACAGTGGAACCTCCTGCAAAACGCAGCCAGGATTCCTGTGAGTTTTGTTTTTACATCTGCTACTGGTGCGTTTGTTTTGACATGCCCCCTCCCAGCTGTTAAAAATCAGGTTTTATTGCCAGTGGGTAACATTGTGACCATACCTGAAGGATGGTTTTCCTTTTATTTGAATCCTCACTGACGTGCCTGATAAACGTGTTACTAGGCTAGCATTCCGTGCCCGAATGGCTATAGTAGGTTTTTTTCGTTTGTTGCAGCAAATGTTGGGGAGAAACTAATAAGCATCCTTGTAGTAAAGGAGAAATTTCTTTAAAAACAATCCTCCTCCAGACCTGGCTTGACAGGCCTGTACTGTATTTCTGTCCTGGCTGTACACAGTGGGTCAGTAGGAGGAAGTTTGTGGTTGAAAAGAATACGGTGTTCAATCGTTTATTTAAAGTGCCGTTCGCCAGATTTTTTGGAAGGAACATTGTGGACAAGAAATTGGAGAGCCGTGCTTTAGCAGAGTGCAATGTGAGCCTGCTGGCAGCAGTGCAGTTGTGCAGGGGCACAGCCTCTCTCAATGGGGCCCTTGTTGTCGGCGGGCAGTGACTTGTGCCTAATAGTCACAGGGCAGCTCGCTCCAGACCTGCTTTTAAATGTGGACACACACGCGTAGAGATCAAACTCTTTCATATTTTTTCATCCTTCTTACCTTTGGATTAAATTTTCACAATTCCGCAGGGCTGTTTCCAGTCCTGTACACATTAAGAACTGCAGAAATATAGGCCTCCAAGCCAATTAAACAGATTTTGTGAACTTGAAATAGCCAACATTTATTCTGTTAGCCGGGGGTGTGGGTGTGCTAACACATCAGTAAGCCCTTGATAATAAAAACCACTGATTTATTGATGAATGCTTTTTATTTTTGTGTTTTCACATTGATTTACAAATGTTGTTTTTTTTTGTACTGTTCTGAATTGCTTACCGCAAGACATTTTTATTCCAATGTGGGCCACCTTGTGAAATGTCAGTATTTTTGGCAGGAAACTGTACTTCATTCACAGTGCCATTGGAAATCTCTTTGAGAATGTGAAAACAAAGCGCAGTCATGCACTCAGGTTCATGCTCCCTGAAAACGCAGCATTCAAGCTGATGTTTGTATTGGTCCGGTGAATATTGTGTGCCAGAGCTATGGTGGTGGGCAAGAATGGGCTTGTGGGAATGAAGCAGAGCTGCAGGGCCCTACGGCCTGAACCCGCCCAGTCCTGGATCTGAGCTCCATTTCCTCCCAGGAGCCCTGAGGTGGGCCTAATCTGATTAGCTTTCATGGAGGTGTTCTAAAAAAAATCGTCCTTCTTTCTTTTTTTCCCCATTATGTTTTATCAAATATAGACCGAGTCTGACAAAGAATTATTAAAATCTACCCTTTGAGCCAAAACTTTGATGTCTGCCAGCAGTCATAACAATGTTTTTTTTACTAAACTACAAAAGGATTGTTGGGTCTTTTGTAATAATGCTCAAATAGGTGATATATCAAAGGAAAATTCTGAACTGTTTTTCTTTTTTTACGTTTTAATTGATTGTTGCATTTAAAAGATACAGACCAGAAATCAAGTTACCAGGATTTGGAATCATTTTGATAGGCTGTTGCTTTCCTACCTTTTTTTTAATTACCCCACAGCTATTTTAGTCAGTTATAAATAATCTGGCATGATCTACAGATTAACTTCAACTCCATCCATCTAAAATGTTAATTAGGATTTGCTACTTTAATTCAGCTTTAATTACTCTTCTCCCATCCTAGGAAAAATTTAAACAAATGACTATTTCATGTAAGAATGTGGAAACCTTCACTGAAATTTAAAATTGCTTAGCAAGAGTTTGTCAGAAAAATTATTTTCCTTAACAAAAGCAGAGAAAGGCTGATAGTTTGTCCCCTGTGCTGGATGAATACATTGGGTGTTTTCATTGAAGTCAAAGTTTGTACCTTTTTAAATAAAATGTCCCTATGTCTGGATTATATTTCCCATTGTGAAAACTGACTGATGTTATATCTGTTGTAAACTAAAATTTCAGAAAATATAATTTGGTTCTTACCATGACCCTGAATTAGTTATTGAACGTGATGTGATGATTTTGGTACTTTGTAACATATAAAATGCATTCTTTTCTTTCCTCACTGAAGATTTTTCTAAATAAAAAAAAATGTTTTAAACATATTACTGTTGTTGGAGCATATTGGCATGTGCTGTTGAATATTGTTACAATACATACCTGCCAGATTAACGACATTACTTATTCTCAATAAACTTACAGGTATATTAATAGGCAGAATGCATAAAGGATACGGACCTTATTTCAATATCTATGCACACCAGGACTGAGTTCTGGGCAAGTGGAGTGCTGTAAGAAACAGAGCTCAAAGAGGTCATTAGAAAAGGGTCCTAATCACAATGGTATCCTGTTAGCAGTACTTTTTTGCTAGAATTGATATTCGAGGCCATCTTGGGGTTATTGTAATAGTTCCACTACTAATACTCCACACCTTTTTAAAGCAGTTGATAAACAGAAATAACAACTGGGCTCAATGATTGCCACTTGCCTTATAATCCAGTTTTTGGCAGTCGTACCGATTCCTTGGCTTGACAGTTTTGCCACTGTTAATGGCAGTTCTCTGAAAAGGCACTGTGGTTCGAAGATGCAACAGACTGTGAAAATAAGAGGTGAAAGCAGAGCACAAACAAGATTAAGATCAACAAATGTGTACTCTGTGAGTTCTCATTAGCTGAATGTTTATCTCAGAATTGATGACCATGGTGCAGCTTTCTCCCAGATATTTAAACCGTTTTTAAAAGTATTTTTGGATTTAATTTTTTTTTTACTTTTATTTTGTTTTGTTTTTATCCTTAAAAAGACCATGGTGTTGAAAAGTGTTTTAAAAGGTTTACACTCTAGGCCTTGTGTAATACATTATTTCCTGTTGAGATGTGTTTGCCAGTAGGATTATGCAAGCTATATATGGAAAAATCAGTCTGCCTTTTTTCATTACAAAAAAAGTTCCACTTTCTAACTACAAATGTGACTTGCAGATGTGCATTCCTTTTGCATTATATAAACTTTTACATACTCATACTTCATGAGTTTTTATTTCTTAATTATGATTAGGATCCTTTACACATGCAGAATACTTTTACATTGGTAATATTACAGTAAACTTTCTGAAATTTGTCAATGAGCAGTGTCGTACGGTCTATGCACAAAAGAAAATGCTTTGTGTCATTCACAGTGATACCATTTTTTACTCCATGAAATGTATTCTGAATCTGTTCAGACAGCATTGTGTTCTTGAGTAGATTGTTCCTGTTTTAAGTTGCCAGTTTCTATGTGTCATAAATTATTTTTATATGTATTGTTTTGCCTCTGGGATGTGGATGTTGGGGAGCTGGATATAAAACAGATTTCTGGCAGAAGATGGACCCTCTGTCCTCTCCCTGGAAGCAGAGGGGCTCCAGAGAATCTGACATGTCCTTCCAGAGCTCCCCAGCAGAGCAGGGGGACTGGGTGGGAGGGGCAGTGGAAGTCATTGCATTTAGGCAAGAGGAAAGGGAAGAGCCAGGATCCCACATTGGGCTCTTTAAGGATTGGGATTGAAACAGTGCTCTCATTGTCCTAATGTACCTTTTAATGATTAATTAATTAACAAATGGCCGGAGATGCAAGTAAATTACCGTAAGGGGGAAAGAGTCTGGCTTTTCTGCTTGGGGGCACACAACGCTCAGGGTGCCTTCCTTTTCGAGGGAGATGGTTCTTTTCCACACACACAAAGAAAAAACAAATTTAACATAAAACGTTCTTAGCGTCTCGTGTGCTGTGTGCGTTAGGCCTTGGAGTGGCTATAGTCCTGGAACATGAGTGTCTGGAGGCTTGGTATAGCTGTGCTTCCTTTTTTGCCGGTATAGTTGGGTCCATGAAAGATGCTTTTTGTTTCTTCCAGGCACCAACCAATGGCCCAGAGCGGCAGGACAGACCCCATCATCCCCCAACTACGAGAACTCCCTGCACTCGCTGGTAAGGCCGCCGTCGACCCCCTTTTAAGTGGGTTTTAATTGACAGCGGCAGAGCTGATTGGTGTTGCAGGGGTATCGCTGGAGAGAGGGGCAGGGTAGCGTTACAAGTACATTCCTTGCTGACAAATGGTGGGGCTGGATGGAACAACACCCGACACACAGGGTGTGTCTTCTCTCGCCATCTGTTCCGCAGTCGTCGGGCTTTTGCTTTCTGGGGACAGCTGTTGCAGTAACTACTGTTACAGGATTCCTGGGCTGATTTCACAGAGCTACTAAAACAAGAGATTACTTTTCATTTACACCCCCACTCAACGTCCGCATACACAACGCATTTGCCCTGCGTGCGCGGCAGTGTCTTTAGATCCCTTCCTCTGCGCCTGGATTTGCGTTTTATAGTTCCAGGTCAACACAAGCAGTTGTCGGTGGCATGCGTTCGGTTTGCTCAGTGTACTAGAAATCGGTGTTGAGTGGTTTTTGTTTAGGCTTAGAGGGGTAGGTGGGCATTAGGGCTCCGGGACTGTTTTCAGGGTAGCTTGAGCACACACCTGCTGTTATAGCTGGACTAACATGTGGATGCTGACCTGTGTTGCCTTCCTTGTCTCTCCTTTAATAATCTAAATGTGTGCTTTTGCTTCCTGTTCTATCTTGACTTTGCCAGAAAAATCGGGTTCAGCAGCAACTTCATGAGCATTTGCAAGATGCGATGTCCTTCTTAAAGGATGTCTGCGAGGTACTATTTCCCTTTAGGTAGTGCCCTCCCCACCCCTCCCCCTCCATTCCTTGTTTGACTTTTCGCCTCTTTATTTCTGTGTTGCCGGCTTGCCCCGACTTCAATTCATGTCTGTCGCTGTGCTTGTTTATTCCTTGCCGTTTCAGTTTGCACTAGATGCACACTAATCTGCTTATAAGAATTAAATGCTTAATAAAACATAATACCAAATTAATAGTCGTAGTATTGCAAATGGCTTAATTTGACCAAATCCCGGTTTTACATTTTGCCAAGGAGCTCAGTGTTTTTATGTGCAGATGCGTTCCAGGCTGAAATGGCTCCAGCTCTTCCTTATTAGATCCTAAAAGCAGCTCCGAATGTGTCTGTCTTGTTTTTAGTGCCGTCCTGTCAAGAATGCATTATCCAGTCAAAATTTCTTTTTTTTTTTTTGTTTGCTTACATTAACCTGTGCTATTTCTGCGTCTGTCTCTTTTTGCGCCCCGGAAGCAGTCTCGGATGGAGGACCGCTTGGACAGGCTGGACGATGCTATCCACGTGCTCAGAAACCACGCTGTTGGGCCCACCACCAGCCTGCCAGGGGGCCACGGAGACATGCACAACCTGCTGGGACCAGCACACAATGGGCCAATAGGAGGCCTCGGATCAAACTACACCGCATCTGGATTGGTCGCATCCAGTCGGACGGCACCCATGGTAACTACCACAAGCTGCTGCTCAAGAGCAGTTTCAGGAGAGATGTCAAGCCTGCCAGTTCTCTTGTTTTTCTTACTTTAGAATAACATTACACATCAGTTATGACTCTACCGTTAGAATTGTAAAACTAAAACAGTCCCAGAGTTTATTCAAAAAATATAATAAAACGTGCCTCAGACAGTGCTGATGTTTGTATTTCTACACTTTGAGGGCCGCTGTGAGACATTTTGTCAAAAAAAAGGCATTTGCCTTGGTCTTGTTTCTTAGAATTTATTACAGTCTTGGGGACGTTGTCCCAAAATCAGTTCTCACACGCTGTGTATATACTAATACCTGTACGTGCACAAAAAACAAACTGCCCTCCCATTATTAAGCCGTCCCAGAAGGGCAAGGCGTTTTTCAGCTGTTTCCCATGTTAGTGGGACAAAAAAAGGTCTGCCTTGCATAAGTGTCTTTCCAGGGAACATTCAAGTGAGCAGAGGCCACCTGCTCCGGCAGCTAGTTTTCAATTAGAGGTGAGCATTTCTGAGTATGTTTATGCAGAGGAAATTTGGTGGCCCGGGAGATGTGTGGCCACAGCCATGTGCAGAAAGCCGAGACTTTCCGCAGAGAGCAGTTTAGCTTATACTTGCATATTTTCCAGATGTGTAATCGCTGGTAGAAGAATTTTCTCCTTGAAATAGAATATACAGAGTGAATGGGAAAACCATGCAAGATGGAGTGAAGTTTCAGTTGCGCTCATCTGGAAAATGTACACCTCCTGCACTGCAGCTAAGGGACACAAGTGCAGATGCTGGCTGGGAGGCTGAAGGGAGCGTTTGCTGGAATGTAATGCACGATGTTTGAGATTCTAAATTTCAGCCTTTTTTCAGGCGAAACGGGATTTGAGCACAGCTGTAGTGGAAGTAACAACAGAGGAAACAAGTTTTATATTAATCCCCAGGCAGCATAAAATAATTCAGTCCATCTTCTTTTTTTTTTTGGTGCAAAATGCTGGACTCGTTTCTAGTCAAGATGGGGGGGAGTAAAATCACCACAGATAAAAACGCATTTTAGCAAGTAAATACAGTAAAACTGTATTCAGTGAAGCGCTTCAGGGAGGGCCTGGTGATTGCCGATTTTGAAATCGATCGTGTTGGAAAAAGCCTCCGATGATGGTAAAGGGTTTCCTGCATGCTTGCATGTTTGCCGTATCATTTTAATCCCAGATTCCTGCTGTGAAATGTGCCCTTATAAAACTGAAAACCAGCAGGGTGTCTTTGTGATCAAGGCAGAATCTCACCTGTCATGAAAATAATTAGGTTCCTCAAATTGGTGTATGGTCATTCTGTTTGTAATTGGATTGGTTCCAGGTTGGGTTACATACACAACAGAAAGCCATTTATATTCATTACAGAGGTATGGTAGTAAACATCAAAAGAGCCTGTTTTCCCCGAGAACAACATTTTCTCATTGCTTTTTTTATTATAGTAGCAGAGCCTATAAAAAACGCAATCTGTAAATAGGCACAGTCCAAGATCCATTTCAAAAAAAGCTTTACCTGGAATGAATTTTAAATTCATTTCCTAAACTAAATGGTTTATGATTTGATTTTTTTTCAATTAATAACCTGTGTCCTGAGACGACACCTACAGCCTGAAGGGAGATCTAGGTCTTCTTCAATCAGCTTTCTTATTTCGTTGTACTTTATAAAAATATCATTTTTGAGTCTACATTTACCATGGAAGTATGTTAAAGAACGCATTCTTTGAAAACCTATATATTAGACCCAGTCCTGCATATGTTTGTGAGGAAGGTTTTGCTTCCTGTGTGCACTAAAACAATCTGCTGATGGAGTCTTTCTTTGTTAGGTGGAGTTGTTCCAATAATTTTCTTGGGTTAGTACAGTGATTTTTTTAATACGGGCAGTGTTGTGACCCTGTTCCTTTTTGACAAGTGTTTTTATGCAAGTCAGCTCAGCTGCTAAAGTAAACATTAAATTAAATTCCCCTCAGAGAATTCTAGCCTTGGCAATCGACTGTAGGAAATAAGTAATTTTAACTCTTATTTTATGTGTGTAAAGTAAACGGAGGCAGTTTGATTGTTTTTTTTTTGTTTCATTTTCAAGCCAACTCGTAAAAAAAAATCCACCATTTCCTGCCTTCTCAGTTCTGTTTATTTTTTGTCTTGTATTTAAAGCTGCCTTTCACACCAGTAAGATAATTCACAAAACCCCCTTCACCAGGCTTGAATTTTCATCCAGCTTTTGTTGTATTAGTAAACGTCTAAGTCTGCAAGATTTTCTTAGAAGCAGTTAACCAGGAGTTGTTGCCATCTGTGTTTTTGACTTAAAGTCCCAATAAAATCAGTACAATTAAAGGCCGTAAAATAAAAAAATACAATAGAAATAAAATAAGGATTTAGTGATTATAAAATGATCAGTACGTGAATTGTTTTTATTATGAGGAGTGTGAAGCTCGTGCCATCTTCACAAGCTTTAGGGGGAAAGAAGCTATGGCAATTGAATTTTGCATTTTAATTAGAAAAGAAAACATGCTTCATGAAAATGAGTTCATAGAAGCCTGTAATACACCCTAACATTCATGCACCACTGTAGTTTTATGTTCTTATCTGGATGCACTGGCTACACAAAGGGTTGTAGGAGCAGGGAGCTGGCTTCTCAGCCTTACAATTGAGAGGCTTGTTGAGATGAACCTGAGCTCAATAAGCTATAATAATAATGTAATAATAGCTTACACTTATATAGTGCTTTTCTGGACACTCCACTCAAAGCGCTTTTACAAGTAATGGGGACTCCCCTCCACCACCACAAATGTGCAGCATCCACCTGGATGATGTCAATTAACTATCAAACAGGCTAGACCAGCTGAATGACCATCTTTGATTTGGAACCTGTTCTTATTTAGCCATCATTGTTTTTTTCCAGAAGTTTGTTAAAATTGCATCTTTTTCTTAATCATTTCTGGCACTTTCGAAAAGCGCTTTCCATTTTGAAGGCAGCCGTCCCAGAAGATCCTTATTTAATACTAAAAACAGCACTAGTGTTTCTTTTAAATATTCCAAACAAAAAAGAACAGCCCTGTGCCGTCAACTTTAGGAGTCTGACCCAGGTTTCGAGGCTGTGGCTGTGCTTGAAAAAACACACAGGGCTTTTACTTGTGAGGTGAGAGCTGTGGGAAAGGGCCCTTTTTTCATACAGAGCAGTGATTTAACTTGGCCTTGCACCAGGCTTTTATTTTGGCAGAGTGGCTTTCTCCCTCTCTCCTTTTACAACTCCTGGAGATCTAGACAAGTGTGTGTCTGAGGCCACAGTCCCCACCCAAATAGGAGGCTCTCAGCTGTATGCTGATGAGCCCCTACAATTAAAATGCCACCCTATCTGGCCACACTGAGCCCTCCCCTCCGCTGAGACAAAGGCTTGTTTGGACACCTGTTGAGTCTGCAGCGGGCACATTCTGAGGAGCTCCAGAGATTAGTGCTGGGGGAGGGGTCGGGGGGTGACGGAAGGCCAGCAGTGACTGGGAATCACATTCCTTGGGAAAGAGGAAAGGGAGGAAAAAAAAGTCTCTCAGCCCCCTCATTGAAGAAAAAATATCAAGAAATGAGATAGCTGTAGCTGGGGAAAATGTGATTGCATCTCAGGATTGACACAGTGCTGTGGGTTTTGTCAGAGCAGAAGGGCGATTTCCACCTGTTCCATTATGAGCAGAATTGATTTTTTTTTCATTATTAATACGTCACATCAGTATTTGAGCTGAGTTCAGGTTGCATTTTAAAGATACCTTTTGAAATGGATTATTCTGATCCAAGTGTATTTTTATGGTATAGATTAACTTTACTGAAGAGCCCTTGGTAGGTGTCTGTGGTGGTCATCAACATGGAACATATTGCAGTATATCCACTTGTTTAACTTTGTGCAATAAGTGTTTTTGAATAGTTAAAAAATGGTTTTCCCTTTGAACTTGGTGTTTTGCACTGTGGCAACTGACAGATCTAAAAAAAATGTTTTGGGGGTCCCAGCTGACTGTTCTTTGGTAGCAATTGCTAGAGTTATACAGTATAATTCAACAAGTGAAAATTTCTGCTCCTTAATCATTTGCAATGATTCAGCATAGCCATGTATATCAGAAAATCAGCCATTTGTTGACTGTCGAGTGGAGAGTTGAATTAAGGAGGAAGGCGGCTCACGATTCCTGCTACTGACTCGAAGTACAATTATCAGAAAAGAAAAAAATACCCAAACATATTCATGGTATAGAGTCTTCGAGGTATCATCCAGCAGTTTTAAAAGAGATAACTTGTTAAGACAAGTGATGTATGTTTTCAGATTTTAATTGCTGAGGTTCTTCTCAATAAAAGGAGATATTCAACACCCTAGATCAGGTGTCTGAAGCTGTAGTGTGCAGTGACTGGTAATACCAGATTTTTTATAGACAGATGGCTCTGAAACAAAAACCCATACATACTAAATTGCATATTTTAATAGAGTGAAATATGGCAAATGTCTAAATTAATGCTTCTTTTTCTAGTATAACAGACATATTGCAAGGCTTACACAGCTAAGGATGAAATGCAATCTGAAAATCATGCTTTAGTGGTCTAATTGTGGTATCCTATAAAAAATAATAACATATGGTATGTGTTGCTTGAGTGGATAAACATTTCATATTGCAAATCACTGTGGTAAAATACAGTGCAAAAGCACCCCCAAGTGTCTGGTTTAAGCACTGGATATGAAAGAAGAGGAGTAAAACTGATTTTTTTTAAAAGCATTGCCTTCTTAAATCTGTTGACTTAATACTCTGATAATTCCATTAACTGTGACTACCTTACCTTATTCAGTATAATTGTACTGTGTAAAGCTAGTATTAACCCTGAGAATTTATTCCCTTACTCTAGACTGTAAATTATATTCCTCTTCAAAATTCAAAATGAGCCCCAAAACCAATTTCTGAACAGCTAATGAGAACTTATTAGATCTCACCATATGCAGCCTTCTGCCAATAGTGAAGAACAAGGTATTCCATATTTCTAGTCTGGCTGTTGGCAGGAGAGCTCATGCCCAGCTCAGGTCTTTTTGTCAGCAGAAACATGGCACACCTGAAGCTGAACAATCTTTCACAATGTTTCTCTGCTTTTAAGGCTGGCTCAGAGCAGAGGCTGAGAGTCATCTCAGCTGGGGTATCAGTCTAGCTTGTCCTTGGGCTGAGTCACACAGGAGAGCATGTTGGTGCTCCTGAGAAAAAAAGGGATGAGGCAGCAAAATGCTTACATTCAGCTTATAGATACATACGTTTTTTATCCAGATAATTGTTTTTGAAGTGTTTTCTTTCTAGTTCACATACTAGAATTGAATTAGATCTGGCCTAAATCTAAATGTTTTCAAGGTGCAACTTAGTGCTGGTCACCTTTTATTCCAATTTAACTGGCTTCAGCATTGTCTTACAACAACTCGCTCAATAAACACACTGAAAGCCCTCTCTTGAAAACGGTGTGATCTCTGTATGAGTAATATTTTCTAATCATTCCAATTTAATGTCAGTGGGCCAGTGGTGGTGATATTAAATTACTGCTGCAGTTGTACAAAAATGTCTTGCATCTATGGAGCACAAATGCAAGAAACTGACTCTATAACGTTGTTAAAATAGCTTTTGTCTGAAGAACATGGGTGACTTTGATAAGCACCAGTTTACTGAGTTATTTCCTTTCAGCTTTGCGTTTTTGGGATGGACTGTCAACATGACAGCTTAAATTGTAATTTAGGGCTCTTCTAGTACTGACCAGACACAAATATTAAAATAGATATTAAATATTAGTGTCTTCTGATCTCTGCGTCCAATATTAGTGTCACAGTGATGTTTGAGTCCTGTAAGTGTAGTTGACATTTCTTCTTTTTTAGTTTTAGTGGAAAGATAGCAGATGATTTCTGTGTGCAAAACTTGTTTTATTTGCCTGATAAGAAAGAGGATTTTTAGTTTTGGGTTTATTTAGGATTTGATATTTTCTTCTCTGTTCAAGTAAAGACCTTGTGTACAAAAAAACAAACAGAAAATAAGTTGTTTTAAAAACACTTGGTGTTTCACACTTGGTAAGGCTTGATTGAAACGCATTTTAAGAGGTAGAAATTGCAATGTACAAAGCACATTGTTTATTAATAGAATAACTGAAACTCCAGAAGCCTTACTGCAGTATTAACCAGACTGTTTTTCTTTCTTTTTTATGTTAGGCACAGTGAACTGTTGAGTAGAAAAAAATAATGTAAAAGACCTCTCCTTCTGGCCATCAAGGATGTTGTAGGAGAGAAGGTCAAGAGGAAATACTTTGAAGTGTTTCATTTACAAATGCTATCAAATAAACCCCTCCATAAAAAAATGCTTTCAGGAATTTTTACTTCAGAGTTCAAGGGTGCAATATTTAACTGTGAAGCCACTGAGCATTTGTGGTTTGTAAAATCTGGGTCCTTCGTGACAAATTTCCCAAGTGTAGAATTTATTTTACAGGGGTTTTAGAAATGACAAGCCTGAAGAGGCTGATCTTTAGGGTTTTTGCTCTTGGTGTACGGACAGTGGCGGAGTGAAAATATCGGAAATTCTGCTCCACAGGCTTGATATTCTGGCATTATGTTTTCATTAGAACCACAGAAAGTAGGCACTGTTCCTTAAACAGTGGCTTTCTGATTTTATTTCCAGGGTGGAGCACATCGTGAAGAATCTGTCAGTCTTAACAACAATCACTCAGTGTTGCCCAGTACCGTTCCCACTTCAAGCACAGAAATAAACCATCAGGACAACTACAGAGGTCAGTTAAACCAATTTATTTTTCTACTGAAGTATCGTATATCTGTCTAATTGTCTGTTTGTGTATATATACACTGCTGAAACATTCTTAAATTTTCCAGAAACAGAGATGCATAGACATTAATATCACATTCCCGTTTTAAAAGAAATGGTGAAATAACATTAACATTTACTGGATATCAGGTGCCATTGGTGAAGCGGTGTCTCACCTCTGCACCTGATCCGCTGTGTATAGGGATCACTGGGGCAAAATGGCTGCCATGTATCACCCAGGTGGGGTGGTGGATAAATTGGGTATCTTCTTGTATGTAAGATGCATTGGGATAAAAAGATCTAGAAATACATCAGATGCGGTTCATTTTAAATAAGAGTGCAATGAGGAAATAATTGGGCAGCTCGGTGGCACAGTGGTTAACATTGCTGCCTCGCACTGATGGGGCTCTGGGTTCAGTTCCGGACCCGGGGTGCTGTCTGTTCTCCACGTGTTTGCGTGGGTCTCCTCCAAGGTTCTCTGCTTTACTCCCACTATAAAAGACATGCTGGTAGGTTGAAGTAGGTCAGGTGGGCAGCTGCGTCAGCATGCGTAGGCCGCAAAGGAACAAGTAATAGGTTTCTTCCATGCTGAAAAAGAGAAGAAAGAAAACTGGCTGACTGCCCTATCTTTCCTACACCCGAAGAAGTCTCCACAGCTGAAACGTTGTGTTTTTTTTCTTCTCCTTTTCAGCATGGAATAAACCTATTACTTGTTCCCATACTGGGAGGTTGCTTGGTTCTGGGAAAATTGGCCCTGGTGTGAGTGCGCGTGCGTGTGCTTGTGTCTCTGTGTCTGCCCAGCAACGGACTGGTGTCCAGTCTGGGGTGTAACCTGCCTTACACTCTTTTGTTTGCCAAGATAGTCCCTGGCTCCCCTGTGACCCTGAATTGGAAGAAGTGGTTAGAAAATGGATGGATGAACAAGAAATTAATATTGATTTCAATGCCGCGGTTTGTGCTATTTAAAAAGCAAGGAAAGGGATGCCATTTTGAGTTTTTCTGCGTTGGGGATGTAACAGTGGAGAGGTGTGGCCGCCGGTCATTGTGCCTGCCTGCCTACCTGTCCAGCTGTATGTGAGACATGCTGTTCTGGATGTCCTACAGGTCTTCCAGGGAGTTTGACCACTCAGGCTGCAGGGGCTGGACCACTTGAGCTAAAAACAGAAGGGAAGGACAAGGATGAGAACTCGCACGAAAATAACTCATCAGACGACCTGAAGTCCGATGATGAGACTGAGAAAAAAGACATTAAAATGACACCCAGAGGAGGAACTAGGACAAGGTATCTACAATAGCTCCATTAGACATACACTGATCCTAACGAGGATGTGTTAGAGGGTTGCTTCACTGAAACATTTAGTGAAATTGTGCAAAATGGCACAAAATGTCTATTTCTTCCCTGATTGTGAAATCAAGAATGAAGTAATAGTGTTTCTGTAAATCACATTTAAACCAGAAGCACAAATGCGTTCTTATAAAGCCCTCCCACATCTTAGAAGGCTCCTCTCTCTGGACCTGACAGAGTGTCGTTTTGCCCCCTGCAGCAGCATTAACGAAGACGAGGATTTGAACCCGGAGCAGAAAGCTGAGCGGGAGCGTGAGAGGAGGATGGCCAACAATGCCAGGGAGCGCTTGCGGGTTCGAGACATCAACGAAGCGTTCAAGGAGCTTGGGCGCATGTGCCAGCTGCACCTGAAGAGCGAGAAGCCCCAGACGAAACTGCTCATTCTGCACCAGGCTGTGGCTGTCATTCTTAGTCTAGAGCAGCAAGTCAGAGGTCAGTCCATCACTTTTTGCCCGTGCTGCATGAGGCAGCCCACTCTCCGGTAATCCCCACCACCAGGCTGATTCATAGCATTGTACATGACATAGTTGGTGGCTGTCGAGATGCAAGCAAATTTTTCGGTCCTTAAAACGGATTTAAAACGGTTTATCAACCTCAAGTGCAAAAAAACACTAGCTTTTTCCATAAGGCATCTTAGCCGTGAGATTGAGTTATTCACTTGTCTCTTGCCACTGGTGAGGTATTGTGGGATGTAATACGCTCTTTAATTTGGTTATTTGAAAAGGCTGGAGAGCGCAACTGAGGGCTCCGCCGCATGCGGGGCTGCTGAGTGATGCACCAGCGGCACATGCAGATGAGTCACATGACGAGGAGGGGGGCCCACATGCAAACTAGTGCTTGGTGCTCAATTGGCTTGTCGGGATTTATGGTGCTTTTCAGGCCTGCTTATGCAAATCTCATGGCTTCCAATTCTAATTGAACAGCAGAATAGCTGATTTTTTACTTTCCGGTATAAGAAGTCAGGGCAGCTCTTGGGAAGAAACATAGAGGTGACTTTCGCCAAAATCTGTCGTATTAAAATGAGCAAACATAAATGAAATCGTTGGGCAAAATCTCTAGGAACAGACTAGAAAAACATGGTAAAAACATGCCTTTACCAAAAAAAATATTTTTTTGTATTATGGCATCCAGCTGTGCATTCCTATGAAATATTCCTAACAAAAAGGCAATCCGGTCTTTTTAGAAATAAAAATTAGAACCAGATTTGCACCCTCATCAGTGAGTAATTGTAATTTAACTTCTTTTTTAACTCAGTGCATAAAATGTGGAAGAAGAGACTGTTAATTGCAGTGGCTACTTTAAGATCTCACAGTAGCTTTAGTTTGCAGAGGAACATTAAAAGAATTAAAAAAAGGACTGGTGAATGCAACAGCTACAGAGAGTTAGGGATGGGGCGGTGCGATTGGACACAGCAGTTCACTTATCGATGGAAGTGAAGTGAAGCAAAACACAAATGCTAATGGTGATTTTGTTTTTTGTCCTGGTTGTTTCATTTTGGGACCTCAGAGAGGAATCTCAACCCCAAAGCAGCCTGCCTTAAGAGGCGGGAGGAGGAGAAGGTGTCGGCAGTATCAACAGAGCCCCAGCCAGCACATCCCACAGTGCACCCTGGGCTCACAGACTCCGCCAACCCCATGGGCCACATGTGAAATCCAGCCAGGTGGGTCCACACGAATGATCAATACACACAGTCAGTGCAACACCAAACAGGATAATTTAGCGAAAGAGGGCAAAAAAATGTATCCAGTGAAAATTCTGTAAAAATGTTGGGTAAATTTAGCTCATCTTCATTCCACTGCCTCCCCTTTCTGGGTTTTATTGACGTTTTCAAAAATGTTGAACAGCCTTTTCAAAATTCTGAATTGTTGTGTTGTGGTCATGTTTTTCCTTTGTGGTGGTAACTCTGGCAGTATTTTTTTCAAATAGTGCACATGGAGCTTTAAGTACAGTTGTAGTGCTTCTAAAAACACAAATGTATTTTAATTTTAGGGTGATTACCTAAACGCTAAACGGCTAATGTGCAAACTTCTCTTATAACTCAGAATTGCCTTTCTCTTTTCCAGGTCTGAATTCTCAAGATCAATTTTGTAATATAAAGAGTGGGTGACCTTGCTTCACAAGGACAGACAGAATTAACTCTTTGTGACATAAATTTGAAAAGACAAACCACTTGAAGCAAAAATCCAGAAAAGCAATCTTGTGATTGAAGAAGAAAACTGGCCGACATCCAGCTCCCTGTGAAAACATACAATGCTGATGAGAAAATTTCTGCCCACGAGAAGACTTCAGCACATATCATTCTGTTTGCAAGCAGCGTGTGTCGCATCTGAACAATCAGAGACTTGTCGCGATCTCTCCACTCCTTGTGGAAGTTGACTTGTGCCTAAACTGAATTGACGAATGCATTGTAAACACAAATTTTTATTTATTATGTTACTGAGCTATAAAGTCTATGTCTAAAGGGAAAAATGATATTGTTTTGACGTAATGAAGTTTCAGTTAATCTACAGTTTGCCAGAACCCACTAGCTTGGAAGTCTCTGGAAAGTCCCCCTTTGCTTTGTGCAGTTGGATTCTGAGCCAGTGCCAAGGGCTTCAGAAATAAAAATGAATGGAACTGCTCACGATACCGTGGTCATGGCGGTGTAGGCCGAGGGGTGAGCCTGTGCCAGGATAAATTGGCGATGTGCGTTGGGTGAAGACCTGCTGTGTCCCAGCACCCAATTTGGGTCATGAACTTGGTGTAGCAAACTTTTGCAGTTCGTTCACGTCAGAGATGAAAGTAGCACATGAAGAAAGCCTGAAAACAAGAGGAGGCCATATGGCACATCTGGCTCATGATAGCAACAGTTTTTAGTGCTTCGGCGTTGCTGTCTGTTCCATGTTCGTTAACTATTTAAGAGGCAGTCATGTGACTAGGCCACTTACTAAATCTACACAGAAACATTAACACTACTGTTTTCCATCATCCAGTTGTGTGCACAGGAGTACTAAAATGGCTGTCCTGCAACACCAGCTTGGTGACTCATAGAAGAGAAATACTAAAGTTAAGATTTTTTTCATGTTTTATTAATTTGTCAAGAAGCAGCGCTTTCATACTGGAACTCCCTATTTAATGACCTAGTCTGGTTTGCTATCCCATACACTCCAAAACTGGATAATTCAACAGCTGAAACTGCGGCTTGTGTATGCGAATGTGGCAGTTTGAAATTGCCTCCAACTCCTTCTGTTAGCTCAGATACTCTACAGGTGAACCATGGCAAACTGTAGCTTCCCTGAAAGATCAGCTGCAGTCTTTTTTTCAAGCTGTTCAAATGCAGAGAGCAAAACACAATGTTTTTAACCCTTAGCATTCCCTGCGTACCTGTTAGTGTCTTAACTAGAGGAGAAAGGCTGCCCTGTCCAATATGTTCCTTTGCCATATAGTGTTTTCAATGTCAAATTGAATTGTTCCTGTTTTTGTGATTTTTCATTTTTTATTTAATGTTTTTTTTTGTCTCTGGTTATCTGAACAGTTGTTATGGTCATAATTTAAACATCTGTGACGATAAACACCATTCTTACTTTTACCATGAGCAGATTGCAGTGGTATCAAAGATTGCTTCGAGTATCAGTTGAGAAGCAGTACAGTGACTGTATTTACGTATCACCTGGTGTAGCTTTTTGTTTATTTTCTTTCTTTTAAAAAACATCAGAGTAACCACAATTTATATGCTTTATTTGTAATTGTATGCAGAATCATTTCCTTGGCTTGATAGTAAAGCTTGTAACGTGAAGTGTGAATTAGAAGAAAGAAATTCTAATTTATTAGAATTGCTTTGTTTTCCAAGCAGCGAGTACTAAATATAGTACAGAACAAAGTGTTAGCTGTGTGTAACCACAAATGCTTTACAAATGACGCCATCGGGCTCCACTGAACCAGTAAGATCATGGCTCGCCTGGGCAGGTAGTGATTGATGAACAAAGCCGAACTTTGAGCAGGAGTTTTTGGGAGGAAAAGAGCAATGGTCACAGCTTTCTGTCTTTGGTTTGTGCGTGTGCTTTATTTCTTCCCTGGTACCACGGTGGTTAGCCAGTGGGCAGGTTTTAACATTATTCAGCTAGCAGCATTAACTATCCAAACCAATATAAAGCCATTTGTGGTACTGGCGTGAGATGTATTTAAAAAGCGAACCACGAGAGCATCACACAGCGCAATCCTCTTGGTCTTAACTCTGTCGCCTCGTGCTCCTTCAACTTCCGTCTACGCTGTCTTCCATTACTGTTGGTTCCAACGTCAAGGCTGTCACATCACGTGTTAATCTTGCCTTCTAATTGGTCGACAGCAGAATGAACAACTATTAATCAATATTTTAAGAAATTTCAAGAACAAATATTGCCATTTACGCTGAATATTTTGTTTTGCAGCGGGGGAAGGGGTTTATTTCTATCAAGTTTACTTGTGAAGTTTTGTGGATTCTTTTCCCTTTTTAAAAAAAAAACATTGTCAGTATCCACCTGACTATATTTATGGCCTTGTTCTTCATTTCAGTGTTTATGCGCTTAAAAACATGTTGCTTAAACTGCGTGACAAAGCTCACGTGTCACTGCCTGGCCTTTTTTTTGTTTTCGTTTTTCTCCTCAGCCTGTTTCTTCGCTTGTCTTTTTGGCTATATTAGACTTTGTCGTATGCCCAGAAGCTTTCCTTCATAAAAAATAAAAAATAATAAAAAACATTTGGCTTATTTTTCACTGTAGTTAGTATTTTATACAATAATCTTGTAAGAAAATTTCTTGAATTCTAAATATTACTCTTTCTAGATTTTTGAAATCGAAAAAGTTTTCAGTAAAAAGTTTCTTACTTTATTTTACTATATTAGGTAGTAAAAATGTAGGGTTATCTACCATAACCTGTCCATTAATATCAGAAATTTACAAATAGCATCCTAAGAACATAGTAGGGCTCTAGCATACCGTGTAGTACGTATGGAGTATTGTACGAGCTAAATCTTCGAGACGAAGCGCTTCTCATCTTGTTCTCCAGTCTCCATTGTTGGTTAATAATGATTTGTACCTGTTCAGATTTCAAGGTATTGTTGATAAAACATTTAAAAACAGCAGCAAGAGGTTCAATTTTTCTGTCACTGTAACAGAAAACACAATATGTATATAACATTTATGTAGCAATAAATGTGCCATCTTTTTTTAACAAGACCCTATGTGCGTTCATTTCTTTCTCCTTGTGGTTTTTCATCTCTGTTGCTGTTTATGTCTGTGTATACGTGTGGATTCGGCCAGCCCTCAGAAGTACCACAAAGTATTTTGCTGTCGCTGCAAACGTACTGTTAAAAGACAGAAACGCAGCAGAAGTCTTTTTCCCTTCCGCAGTAATATGCGTTCTGTTTTTGAAAGAAGTGTCACTTAGTTTTTAGTGGTAGAATGGTTGACTGACTTTTTATTTTTTTATACTGCAGATCTCAGCCAGCTTAGAAACACTGTGCAAAGTGTGATTTATAGTGTGTGATATTAAATGAAACTTTTGAAAGTACAGTATATTGGTGGACCATTGTTGTTTGTATGATAAAAGTACTATGGAATACAATATGTTTCTATTTTTTAATAAAGTATGATAGTAGCATAATGTTTCTTAATGTAGTCCTATTTTTTAGAAGCTGTGTCTATTTTTCATGTCTTCTGAAATGTCATGCTGTAGAATGGGTATTTGGTACATTAATTAAACACACAACAAAGCATCTGTGAATTAGTTAACCAAGAACTTGATTGTGCTGCATCAACTTCCTTCATCAGCCATTGGCATCTACCTGCAGAGCTTGCTTATTTTCAGGTGAAAATCTGTTTTGCGCTGCTCACACAGCAGGTGCGTTAAACAAGTATTAATATAGTTCTATTAATAATAATAATTACTTACACTTATATAGTGCTTTTCTGGACACTCCACTCAAAGCGCTTTACAGGTAATGGGGACTCCCCTCCACCACCACCAATGTGCAGCCCCACCTGGATGACGCGACGGCTGCCATAGTGCACCAGAACACTCACCACACACCAGCTCTCAGTGGGGAGGAGAACAAAGTGATGAAGCCAATTCATAGAGGGGGATTATTAGGAGGTCATGATTGGTAGGGGCCAATGGGAAACTTGGCCAGGTTACACCCCTACTCTTTTCGATTGGTTCGTCTGATTAAATAAAAGAAGCACATTAAAAGTAAAAGTACAACCCTGTAATCGCACAAAACCACCCTTTTCAGAAGTAAAGTGGTCAAAAATGTGTTGCAGCAGGTCTTTTCATTACAACTGTTAAGACTTTTTTTGACGTTTTGGTTCTTTAAACTTGTGCTGCACTCCCGCGGAGAAAATGTAATTCAGAACACTCCAAGCCTGTCTGATGTGACTTGGAGCATGATGGTATTAGTAGAATAACCATGTGCTGCACAGAAATACTGCCACAGCTGAGCAGAGATCTCCCAGTGGATTCTTCAGTACAATGAATCGCTTGAACCCAGGCTGGACTTGAGACTGAGGAGAAATGGAACAGTTGTGCTTCAGGAGAAAACAGTAGGCTGAATCATTTCTGAATTGGAATTGGAAACATACTGTACCAAGTAGTCACTATTTTTTTCCCAGACATGAGCAGTTCGATTTTACAGTTAAAATTTGAAACTTTTCCTAACCGTATTAGTCATTTTATGTTTTTTCTAATTTATACGCTGATATACCCATCTAAACGTTTTTAATTATGTGGGTTTGATTTCCCAGCTCAAGATCATCAGTTTTATTATGTCAATGAGATCAGCCAACAGCTGCATAAAGACCTTCGTATTACTATGAGACCTCTTAGTGTCCTCTTTGCCACACACAGTCACATCTCTGTGTTGCTCAGTTGGCAACGAAAAGTCGTGGTGTGTTGAAAGGTGGTGTTCCTGCCCTGCTTCACCCAGCTATGAGGCCAGAACACATAACCCTCCTCTTGCTTATCAAAGCTCTCACCTCCAATTAAAATAAATATAAGAAGTACAGGGATCTAAACCCTACATGCAGTTTGATTTCTGGGCTCAGCCTTCCTAAGACCTGTGCTGCTCAATTTGAAGATCAAAAAGAAGATAAGGCACTTCAAGAGAGATCATGCCTGGCCTGTGCTACAGGTAAATTCTGCAGATGATACCTGAATGGTTACGTTACGATTTTTTAAATAATTGGGCTTCTGTGACAATATAACACAAAAACATCAGAACATGAAAAAGGGCAAGTCAAGCTCATAACATTATTGCTATATTGCATTATTGCTACATATTGCTTTCCTACTGTCCATTTACTGTAGATCTAAAGCACTTTAGTAAAGTAGGTTTTAACATTTGGGGAAGAATTTTCTTGGCTCCATTTTGTCTCTGTCCTGTGATACCATTGTATCTCAGTCAATGATGATTGTCTACCATGAATCCGAACTTTATGACAAGACCAATCCATTATTGTATTTGTAACAAGTCATGGACTTCACTACAAAAATCACCTGTTGATTTCAAAGCCCACATTTCAGTCTACAGTCCTTTTTCAAGATTTGACATCTCAGAAAATGCAAAGCACAGGCTTATTTACATACAGTATTAAACAATTAGCAATGCATCTTGCTTCAATGAAGTAATTGATAACTTTTAAAAAATACAATACATGCAAGTATAAAATAACAGTGTGTGCATGTGGGATAGCATGATTTATTGAGCTTTCTTGGTAGCTGATATTCCCAAAGAATAGAAAAGCTGTTAATTGAGAGTCCAGACATTTTTTTGGTTAATATGTTGATTCCAATTTAACACAATTTTAAAAATACAGTATGTACTGCAGAGTAATTCTGTCAGGATTTACTTTGTTGTAAAGAATTTTATTTTAATTCTAAAAAAATGAAACCAAACCCTACATTTTGACTATTTTATACCCCACTCTTGCTGGCATAATTTAAATAATTCTAAAAATGTGCAACAGTAAACTAAATGAAAAGATCAGATAAATACGTATGTTTTACTTCTAAATTCTTTTATAAATAAATAAAAATAAAAAATATTTATGTAGTGAAAAGCAGTTTTTTTACCAGTTAACAGGGATTTCAAATGCTTGGCTTCTTTAAGCAATCATGTTAGTTTCAGTGCTGCTTTTCAGTCCTTGCATAGATTTCACTTGTTACAGGCTGTGTGATGTGGCATAATTTAATTACAAACCCATTACATGTTTGTTCTTTTGCAGTTTTACATCAAGTATGAATGTCTTTGTTCTTCTGGCGAGCATCAATTAACACAAATAAAGTCATTTCTTGCAGTCATCTGCCATACTGCTGAAGAAGAAACATTATGCTCTGTATATTTTGTTGACAACATTCAAGACAAAACAATTTCTGAAGTATTCTCTTGACTCCAAAGGCTTCTTGAAACCTGATAGCCTTCTGTGTGTTTCATCATAGATGTATATAATTGGCTCTGCCAATTATGGATATGCTGAAAGAGAAAGATAAATTAGAAAAAATATTTAATGTTGCTTAATGTAACTAAGATTTCAAAACACAATTGAGAAGGGCGTTCATGAAATCTCTTAAGTCTAGTAATGAAAATACTTGAAAGGGTTGCTGTTGTGCTGCTGGTGTTAAAGTGGGACATTGTGAAAACCACTAGGACATATTTTTTGGTCAGTATTTTTGGTCAATTAAATTTGACCAGTGCTACAGCTTACTGAATATGTCACTGAAGAGGTTTTTAAATCATGCTTTGTGTTCTTACTTGGAGCAGCAAATGTATTTGTCCTGCTCAGTTCTAAGTCATATCATGTTCATGACAACAAGAATTTGTTTCATTCCAACTACAAAATGGTGTCATGTATTAGCAGAGTCCTGTAAAAATGCAATCAGGAGTGAGTACAATTTTAGTTTATGAATAAATGCATGATACACACATGTGTACCACAGGGAAATAATGGACTATTTTATTGGAATATTTAAAAACTATTCCAGGCACAAGGGTATAATTTAAAAAAAAATAGTGATAATGGCATTTTTGAGCATCCCTACAGCCAGGGCCTGGTCAGCCAGTCTGGCCATTGCCCTCAGAAAGTGACCACTGCCATAGGCAACAAGTCTGTCGCCAAGAGGTCCAAGCAAGGCCTTTGACAAAGTATGTGCTGACAACCACCTGAACAGTGTTGACCTACCGCTTGGGAAGACCACTGTCAACAACAGTGTGTTCAGAGACCCCGCTGTGAAACACACGGCCGAGATCAGATTCGAGGAGAGATACGAGACTGGCCAGAACAAAGGGCTCTTCCAGATTCGCAGAGCAAAACTGCATCTTTGCTTTATCAATAAATATATAATATGCACCAAAACAAGATGTCCTGGGCAGCGTCTTGGTTTGTCTTCAGAAAACCTACAAAGAGTGAAAGCTGGTGATTTAGTCATTCCTAATCTCAAACATTGGATACTTGCTCTAAAGAAGAAAATTGGCCATTGTCCTGACAACTCTGAATTGTTTTGATAGCAATTCAAGTGTTTTTGCTTCTTTTCATCCCGTTAACCTAAAAAGCAGCATATTTTATCTTTTTTTCTGACTGTAGTCCCCTTCTTCAAAATTAACATTCAGAACGGCTTGTGGCATATTTCTGTGGATTTGTAACTAAAAGTAATTGTCTGGGAACACAGGAGGGGGCTGCGAATGTGACAGACATGTTCTAGCCATCACAAAGCTATTTATTTTCTGGCTGAGAGACCATATGCTGTGTTTTAAAGCCAAGTTAACAGCAGTGAAAATAGGTAGAATACCTTCTCTATGTGCTCCTGGAGCATTTTACTGTTACAAGAAACAGGATCATAGTCCTCAAGACACTGGCTGTTTACACAAAGAAAAAACTCAGATAACAAGGAGGCTAAAGATGATTCTGCTTAAAGGTGCCTAGCTTCAGTTCTTCCTTCTCACACACAACCAAACATTCTACACATTTTTTTTACATTTACAAAAGCCCTGCTTGCTCAGTTATTAAAACATTTCGAAACCCACATCTCGTCCCCAAGGACTGGACTTGTAAAGCCTACAACAGCTGCACAATGAAGTTCATCTGTTTGAGTGTGCGTGTGTGTACTACAGTATGCGTGTATAGGTAGGCATGCACAACAGCTCTGTTTCCTGGGAGTGCATTAACTGGGAGTTAATTTTGATATATTTTTCTGATTTCTAAAGAGTCCGGTAACGGATTAGATAGACACCAAGTTGTACTTTGGCAGCAGTGATAAATAGATTTTTTTTTGTTATTGTTTACAGTCCACATACAACACCAGGTCTGGGGCTTGTACAGCACAAGACATACTTTTAATTTTCTGACCATCACATTTCTTTTCAACAACAAACGCATCCAATAGCTAGCAGCTCATTTCTTCTTCTGCACTCCTGTATTATGTCATCAGATGTTTACTTGCGGTTACCTAAAGGGACTGGATTGTTTGATTTAAAGGCAGGACCACCATGTTTGAGTTCTGAATTCCTCCCTGCCTCCATGCCTTGAACAGACCTTTCCTGCACGTGTGGGCTGTCCTCGGGGTGGCTGTTGACAGCCTGCTCTTGGCTGGTGTATCTCTTTCTGCTGCCTGTTTATTCTAAGCAAAAATACGGGCCCCTCTATATTGTATTGTCGGGTAACAACCTATTTGCTTTGTAGTTTACAGAGGCTGAGATTACCCTATTCTGAATTTTGTTGCTCGATTGTGTAGCCTTTTCTGTTTACGTCCAAGGAAACTGTGACTGTTTCTCTGTTTTGCAGCAAATTCCAACAAAACATTAAAATTGGATTTGCAGTCTCGCAGAATTCACTGAAGACGACAGAACAGTGAAAGATTTCAACAATGCTTGTCTGAAAGTCTTTTTTTCATCTAAGCTTGCACTTATGCCTGCCAATACCACAAAACAAATCTAACATTTCTGTTTCGGATTCCTAGAGCTTAACAATCTGAAGCTGTGTAATGTCGTGTATCTTTGTGGCTTTATGGAATACAAAATTACTGATGTGATGTGGTAACAAACTGGTAAAAGCCCAAATTCAAATGAAAAATTATCCTCACATTAACACTTCAGCATGCAGTGCTTCTTCTAAGTCCGTAGAGCAAACTGGGCCAGCTAAGATATTTGAGTGAAAGATTGCCTGCATTGGGTCAGCACTGAAGAGCCCCTGCGCTGTACTGAGCATGCTCTGTCCAGCCCAGCTGGGACATATCTACCGAGAACAATGCTCCATTGTGTTTGTAACATTATACAGTGCCGAGGAGTTAAGATTAAAGTTTGCCCCTACACATCTAGTTTTCCCACTCCCACAGATCAAGAAACGAAAACACAGAGCACAACAAAGCAGGGGCAGCTGGTTTTGACTGAGTGTTCCTGAAACCTCTTTTCTGCTCCCCATAACAACACACTTCAAAGACCTGGGGTTATTACATTACACTACTGGCCCTCTCTTCTCACACCATCTTTGTTGGACCTCATAGTGCCGCATGCTTTTAACAAGAATTCTTCCCATCTCTGGTCTTCTAGAAAGTGACTTGGCAGCAAACAACAGTCAGGAAAGAAACAATGAAAAGCGCAATATGTATACATACATCGCAAGCTCGTTTGAACACTACAGATCGTATATTAATCACAGCAAGCATTCACAAAGTATTAATAGGTTACACTCAGAAATGTGGGTGTAAAAGCAAATTATTTTTAGAAGACTGGAAATGTTCTACAGATTGGTCATGTGCAGCCAATTATAATAATTATTATTAATAATAATTTTTCATTTTTTTCTGTAGGAAGGCAGATATATACGAGAAGTATACAGAGCCCCTATCCAGATGATTATATAGGCCATCCTTAAACCAACGTTTCTAGAATCTTGTTTTCATTCTGACCACTGAAATGGGCGGTTTCCTTCAGTTAATTAAGCAGTTTTCAGATGAACTGAAATGCAAATACCAGCACCCTGTCGCTTTTAGCCTTGCTTAAAAGTTCATTTACTAAACCCACGTCGTTCAAGTCTTTCCAACAAGACCTGCTGGACTGTGGTTCTCCAGGAACAGGGTTACGCAGATTTGTCATGCACTGTGTTACGTGTGCCCTCAATTCCAGTAATATTGCAAAAATGTAACCGAGCACTAGATGGCGGTATTGGCCTTGCTGAATGCTCCTGAGAAAAGGGAAATCACACCACAGCCTAGTAATACGGGTCGCCGCACTTTGTGCAGTAACAGTAGCTGGTGAGAGATAATGAGCACTGCGGACAGAATGACACCATTCCTCAGTTCTTACCGGTGTAAGCAGTCTATAATGTATTGTTATCGAAGGAACACTGCGTACCTTTCTGCCTGCTCATGATGTAGCCCAGAGCTCAGTCGGCACGTCGCCATGGCCCACCCACGACACGAAACCCCCGTGGTAGTAGTGGGCACGGAATATAAAACATTTGGGATCTGCCAAGCTGTGGAGGGCACCTGCCCGAACTCTACCCGCTCAGGGAACAGAGGTGTTCAGTCGCAGAGCTACAGTATCTGCATTACTCTTTCGTAACTACGGTGACGGGGCGGTGAGGGAACAGCAATGAAATTAGTCTCTGTTCTGTGTGTATGTAAATACTTACTGGAAATATCATTTGAGAACATTAGGGAGAAGATGTTACGGGGTAAACTAAAACGCGTGTTTAACAAACACACCGGCGCAGTGAAACTTATTAGTAGGGGGAAAAAAAAAACATGCCCTTGTTTTCTTGAAATAAGATTCAACTTCAGAGAACTGAAACACACATCATGAGGTGCCGCCTCTGAACAGCAATTCTGATCGCATTGTTCCGAAACATTTCTGCTTATTCACAATGCTATACTGCGAGTGATGTTTTTTTTTTGTCAAAAAGATCAACAGTATCTGAGCAGGAGGTACAGAAAACACAATGCAGCCAGCTTGCCTTCCTCTCTTATCAGACGGCTCACACACAGGTCTCTCTGGAAACGTGTTCCTGTTTTGCTTAAAATAATCATCTGTTGCTATCAGTGTCCTTCAGAGCAGTCTTACCGACAAACAGTAAAAGCCTTGTTTGACGACGGTAATAGATGATTCTGAAATGAATTTACTAGCCTTACTTTCAAATAAAAGCCCTACTTCTTGAGTGAAATGGCACTGTACCTCAGAGTGAATTACAGGATACATACAGTAAGTAGTTCTACAGAGTGGTCATTCATATTGACAGTGATGGAAACTAATCCTTTTCCAGATTCTATACAAGGTGGATCAGGGAAAATCGAAATATATAGATAAAATGTAGATAAAAATATGAAAAGGCGTGATGACGGGAGACGCAAAGTGGCGTAGCAGGCCTTAAGAAGCACAGAAACCGCCAGGGCGTTTGTCTTTGGTTTGTGAAATTAAAAGTGAACTTTCAAGAGTATAACGTTCACCTAAAAGTCCAGTTAAAAAAGTCTTTATCCCCCAAAAGCATACTGTCCGCATCCATCAAAATGTTGCTCGCGTGCACACTAACCCAAATACTTCTCCGAACGCCCGTAGAGTCAGCGTTGCTAAGCTACGCGGCCCGCATGTCACCTGTGCGGAGCGCTGCCGCCAGGCGGGCGTGGGCGGGGCCAGAGGGAAGCGAAGCCAGGCGGGGGGCGGGGCTGCTGGATGCCCTGTAGGAGAGAGCGACCCTGCCAGAGCTCTGCAACAAGTCTCTGTGATTATCGCCAGCGGTATGGCACTTTCTATGCAACTTCAAACTTACTGTTAAAAAACTTTTGAATCATTATATGTGCTTGTCCGCGTTAGGAAACTGGTAAGTATACACCGCATTTTCGGGGTTTTGTGGCTGTTTTCTGTAATTGTGCTTTAGTTACAGCGTGGGAAAGTAGTTTTGGCAAGACTTTTTTTCCGCTTTATCTGATTTCAGTGTAATTCACCCCTTTTCAGGCGTCGACGGTGTTAAATTGAGCTGGAGTTAGCGTTTAATATGCGATGTGAACTGTTTTTGAAAAAAGACAGGCTTTCTGTCGGTGCTGATTAACATTCTTCAAAGCGTCATCTAATTAATAAGGGCAAAGAGGCATTGGGTGCGAGTTTTGCTCAAGAGGGTAGCAGAAAACGTCCTTTTCAGCAGTGTTACAGAGTGCTGTTTGCTGCAGAAAAGAACTTTGACATGGCTATGTTGTATACTTTAAAAGGTTCTTGTCAGTAAACCTCGTCAGAGAGACCACCCTAGGTGTTGGCAGACAAGATCCTCTGGAGATAGAAAATTGTGCTTGATTTTTCGTTTTCCGAGAAGGCAATCAGCAGTCGAGGTGGAGAGATTAGACGATGGGGTTCGTGTTTCACAGGTGCAGTTTCAGAGTTGCGCGACGGCTGATAATGAAATTCTTCATTTTCTACAGGAGTTGGTTTGTTAAAGGAGTCGCGGGTGTTTATTTCCAGTATGTCTTCAATAAACAAACTAGCAAGCATTTAAGTCATTTTCAGGGGTTGGGATGTTTGGACAATTAAACACAAAAGTGTACATTCCGCTTATTTTCTGCATAGGCTGTACAGATGTTTTGTTAACAGGTATTCAATGTACTATTTCTTCTGGATCAAATAACCTTATGTTGTTTATCTTTAGTATTATTTTAATTGAAATAAAGACAAACTATCAAGTGTCCTGTGTTTCTGATCCTGAGGCCCAAAGTCCCTGTCCTTTCTCATCTCTAGCATTTTTTCCCCACTAAACTCTTAATTGAACTGCTCATTAGTTTGCTTGGATTTATTGAATAGTTTTCCAGGTTCTGCAAAAGGATGATGCTGCATTACCTGCAAATATTTGTAGGTCTCTTGAAAATATCAGCGATGTCTCAGTAAAACACTCCAATTAGGGATTCAATTAAGGAGTTTATTCACATTCCTGTGCAGAAAAACATCAGAAAACCTGTGATGACAAGCAGGCCTGGGGCATACTGGGTTAAGTGGTCTGGAAATAGTGACAGTACAGTGCTTACTGTAAAATGGTTAATTGCTGTTTGTTTCTCAAAAGAGTTCTGTGCAGAACTACATACCTAGACATAAGTTGCTCTTTGACTAATGTTGGTAACAGGCAGTTTACAAAAATGCCACCTTCTCATTTCAGGGCTCTTGAGCTCTGGATTGGAGAAAATGTAGCCAAGAACGGCAACAGAACAGAGCCTACAGTGGCTTTGTAGAATTTGCAGCTAAAGGCCATTATTACCATAATTATGTAATTACAGAGTATCGGTGCTTTAGGCCAGGAGAGAGAGGAGGGTACACCTTTTCCAACCAACACCTTCAACAGCTGCAGTCTTGGGCCTGGAAGAGTTGTGGGGGCAGACGCAGAGATGTAACCGTTTCTTTAACTGTGGATGAAAATCCCTTGAATTGTTTTTTCAAGGCTACAGTGATGAATGGCAAATGAGATAGCGCGGCCGCTTGGAAGATCAAAGATGATGTCTTTTGACATCTCGTCCCCCTCATGTGATTCGCCGCTGCACTCTGCGCAATGTGCAGGAGCAGGATGCTAATGCAAAAAAAAACATGATTTTGGAAGCAAACTTGTTTCCTCCCAAACAGAAAGCAGCGCTTCTGCGGAGCACAATGTGAGGAAAAGCACAGCGTTAACACCTCAAAGCCCCTATGTGCTGGAGCCATGTGATACTCGGGCTCAAAGCAACTATTGTTTGTTTTTTCTCTGCTGAAACTATTTTCCTTCGGATAAGGGCCTCAGAATTACTCACTCACATTGTTCTCCTCTTCCTTCTGTGGGGACTGGAAAGTATTAGGCTCAGGTCTTGGAGTATTAATAGTTTTTTAGGAAGAGCTGTTTTTTGTGCGTGTGTTTTGATTGCATTGAGCAGAAACTGGCACAGCACGGTGGCGCAGTGGCTAGCACTGTATCCTTTCAGTCTGTCCGTGTGGAGTTGGTATGTTCTCCCCGTGTTCATGTGGGTTTCCTCCCACAGTCCCAAAATATAATAATAATTAAACTTTATTTTATATAGCGCCTTTAAAGGTGGCTTCTCAAAGCGTTTTGCAGGATGACAACAACAATAAATAAGAAGAATACAACAATAAATAGGAAGAATACACAAGATAAAACACAATTACAATATATAGAGGAGACCGTGGATGGTGGTACTAAGAAGAGCAGAGGGGTGAAGAATGGAATTAGTTCAGTAAAGGCTTTTCTGAAGATGAGGGTTTTGAGTCTGGACTTGAAGGAGTTTAGCGAAGGTGACTTTCTGATATCCTTGGGCAGAGAGTTCCAGAGCTTGGGGGCATAACAGTATGGGTACTGGTAAAATATACTGGTAGGCTAATTGGGTTCTGGAAAAACAGGCCTTAATGTGAGAGTGTCTGACTGTGTGTGCCCTGAGATGGACTAGGGTCCCATTGTCTTGCGCCTGTTGCTTGCTGGGATAGGCTCTGGCTTCCCCGCCTCCCATGAATTGGAAGAAGCGGTTGGAAAATGGCTGGATGGAGAAGCTGCTTATGAGTTGCTGTTTGTTTTATTTAAGTAGTACATGCCTTGATCTGTTAGAGAGGATTGTACAAAGCTTATTATTTCTGCAATCCCTTGTATTTTGCATGGTTTATTGATTTTAAAAATTGTCACAAATGCTACTGGAAATGGCAATTCAGCCACATTGTTAAAGTTAATCCATTTCTAGGTTATTAAAGAGCAAGTGTATGATAGTCAGTTAATCCACACTGAACAATGTGATTTTACTAGTTGTAGCCCAGTGTAATTGCTTCTGAAATGTAGTGCAGAAACGCAGTAGGTCACTCTGGCCCATATAAGACAGCAGATCCCTTAGGCTACTTTAATAGTGAGCTTATGTATGAACTGATGAAGTTTGTGGTTTCCGGTTTTATGTACATGTCAATATTACCTATCATGTTGCTGTATTAATACAGCATCAGAATGATTAAGGCAGACTCCTACATTTCCTGACGGAAAATAACACCTTTTGCATCCTTTGGAGCCAGATTCTCTCCACCTACTAAATAAGATCCTCTTTTGAGACGCATCATTGTCCACAGCAGCATAATTACAACGTGGCAATAGCAGAGATCTGAGTGGTGCATTTTTAATGGCCGTTTTTGAGATGCACTGAGGCTGCAGGCTTCCCACAGAGCTGTTGCTCAGCCGGCCATTGCATATAGCTGTTTCTCGCAGGAGGAAGGAAGGCCTAGATTTAGTTATTTCGAGCAACAGGGCATTCTTAATGCACTAGCCCATTATCCTGTTTTCCTCAGCAACTTTGACATTTCCTCTTCTCATCCTTCACCGCCCCTCTGAAAAATCACGGCAGTTCCACGCAGGCGGTAGCCATGGTTAATACCGCGCTTCAGCTCTTAAAATTTGCAGACGGGTTATTGATTCAGCTCTGAAGAAAAGCTGGTTGTAAAAAAGCTGGTGTATATCGCCAGCTGAGCCTCAGGCTGCTTTGATGAATGTGCCTCCCATGTTTCCGGTGGCAGGGGTGATTAAAAATGACTATTAAGTCTGAGGCTTGTGGTAGCAGTGATTGACTGTTGCACATGAAAACAGAAGTTTAAAATAAATAAAAGTTTATATAATAATAATTACTTGTGCCTATATAGCACTTTTCTGGAAACGCCTCTCAAAGTGCTTTACAGGTAATGTGGACTCCTCTTCACCACCAAAGTGTAGCCCCACCTGGATGATGTGAAGGCAGCCATAGTGTGTCAGAACGCTCCCCACACACCAGCTGTCAGTGGGGAGGAAAACAGAGTGCTGAAGCCAATTCAGAGATGGGGGTTATTAGGAGGCCATGAATGGAAAAGGCCAATGGGAAATTTGGCCAGGATGTCAGGTGAACACCCCTACTCTTTTCAAGAAACGCCCTGCGATTTTTAATGACCACAGAGAGTCAGGACCTCTGTTTTACATCTTATTTGAAGGATGGTGCCTTTTTACAGTATAGTGTCCCCGTTACTATACACGGGCATTAGGACCCACACAGACCCACCCTACTGGCCCTGCTAACACTTCTTCCAGTAGCAACCTTAGTTTTTCCCAGGAGTCTCCCATCCAGGTACTGACCAGGCTCACACCTGCAGAGCTTCAGTGGGTTGTAAATTGTGAGTTGCAGGGTGATATGGTTGCTGGTTGCTGTTTATTTAGCAAACAGAAACTGGACAAAGACTTCTTTTTTTTTTAAACAGTTCTATCAGATGTACTGTAATCAATATGTGATTCAATACTTAACTCTAATAACTATGTGTGAGCTTTCGGTTAAATGTATGTCAGAAATGGATATTTTTCTTAACAGACTTACCAGGTGAATTGTTGCAATAATTTAATGCCTCAAATCTTCTTGTGTAAAGGACGATACATGCACATTGCTTATTCAAAGTACTTATACTGCCTTTATCTCCAAATGCATTGTGCAGAAGTACAAAAAGTATTTGTTTTGGGTTCTTTTTCTTAGTCATTCAAAATGTATGTGCGTTAGGTGATGTGTGAGTCTAAGCTTGAAATGGAAATATTATGACTGTAATATCCTGAATGCCTTTACATGAATGATACCGCAGACTGCAGTTTGATTTACAGTGGCAAATGAGGAATGAAATCCAAATTATATATCTAAGCATGGGTTTGTTTTCTGTATCAGATTTAAAGCAATGTGTTTGTTTTGCAAAAATATAGCAAAATTGAATCCCTATTGAACCTTTGCAAATGTAAATTAGAGTTGGTTTCTTAACTGTTCCTCATTAACATAGAAATGGCATCTATGAACTTCAAGTTCAATTTCGCACTGACTGGAGTGTCCTGGCTCTTGTGCCCTAGTGATCTTTGAAAAAGGTCTGAGACATCTGTGTGAGCATTTTTAAATGCCCTTGGGCACTGTTAGCACTGGGTTGGTATGCATGCAGAATTTAAAAAGTACCTATTATTTTCTAAATTAACTTAGTTTTTTCAATGCATTTTGTAAGTAAAATTATTTCTGCTGGTCCCTGTTTATCAAAGGTTATACCTATCTCCTTAGTAATTCAAAATGGCTAAATTTCATATAATTGAACTTACAGGGTGTTGATTTTCTCTTTTAAATTGAGGTGCACATAAAGATGGCATAACGATGGTACATAAACCATAACTTTATGGTTGGACTTTATTTCAGTTTGTTTGTGGTTGGTGTAAAAATTGTATACTGAGCCTATTGCTCAGATTTAATTAATTCACTCCAGACTTGCAAGAATGGAAGATAATAAAATAATTTGTATAGCAACATTTTCCTGCGTTTCTATTACTTCAAAGAGATTTATTACATGGGCCCTTTGGAAACAGTGTTTGACAGAGTTATGGAGCCACTTCAAAAACCTGATTGAATACAGATATAGCTCTACATTTACAGCTTCAACTTGTAAGCCTCACTCCAGTGATTACATTAAGATGAAGACATTAAGGAAAATAGGCTCTCTTCTGCGTTATCGGTATTTAATGTCTCCTTCTCTGATTTCTTTCTATAATTGTCTTCAGTTTGCTTCACAGTGTTGCATTGTTAAATAAAGCCCAGGCATAAAAGGTTGAAACAGACATGGCAATAATGGAACATTTTGCTGAGAGTTCATCTTCTAACCACTCAATTAAGAGAAATATGATCTAGGGCTGAAACAAGCCAGTATTTACAAGTGTGTAGGCAGAGTTGAGCTCAAGTGGCTGGGGACTAGGAGAAGCTATTAATTTGACTATTCTGGAAAAAGTATCAAGATTGGCCGTAATACATGTTACAGTTAGTACTCTTTTCTGTTTTAGTATAGAAGCTGCTGTATGTAAAATACACCTATTTTTATCTGCTGCTTCTTCATTGTGTTGTGTATACATTAATGGAAGTTAGAAGGATACATTATTGCTCACAGCTAAGAAGATGAAACAATTCGTGGATGTGCCATTGCATTTCACTGACAGTTTAGTATTTTTTGCAGATTAAGCAAATATTCAGTAGTCTGTTCACCTGCTTGCATTTGTTTTTTTTTTGTTGAGTCACTTTACCACTGGGGGACTGGATGGGAACTTATCCGCACCTTTCAAAGCTCATGTTGTGTGGAGGGTTCTTGGTTCCCATAGTGTACTGTTACATGTCGTAGACTTAGGGGTCAGCAGGTGTTTGAAATGTGATTTATACAGGGCAAACCAGGCATGAGCCAGCCTTTCAGCCTTTCCCTAGTGTGTCCACTTTCTACCCTTTTTCCACTACTGGGCTGGTTTTGAAATCCCAAAGTCCGCTGCCGTTGACCAAAGCCAGCTGGAATGATGTACTGTAAATCCCCTGTACTCACTGCAGTGCGGCTCTCGGCTACTGTTGCTGACGTGGACAACCTTAGTGAACGCGCAGGTTATGGCAGGAGATGATAATTCTGAAGAGACGGGACAGGTGGAGGAGGAGGAGGTGGAGTTTTAGTACATGGAAAGAACTAGCAAGTGGTGGAAGCTAACATAGATGAATCCAGGGTCTCGGTATCTGTCGGGCTCTAATGACTCAATCAAAAAAACACATTCAGAGGGCATTCTGTTAGGAGCATGCTTTCCATTAATAAAGGTTAGTGGGAGATCACTACTCTGAGCCCTGTTACATACTGTATAAAGTATGGGTTATTGATCATAAAGTCAGAATCTGAAACCCTACAAACCCAACAGCAGGTAGAACACAGTGGATGTGTTGCAAAAATAAAACTGGCCTTATAGCATATGACTGTATTTAATACATGCAATGCAATTACTAATTAAAAACATTTTTGAACAAACGTTTGCTGGGAGTATTTTGATCTTGTATGGCTTCGTAGTTTATTGAGAAAACACACTAATGTTTTGCTTTGCAAACTTGAGGTAATTTGACTTGAGGTTCCAGTTGCTTTGATTAACAGTGTCCCACTCTGTCCAAGCAGTTTGCATCCTCTTTGTTAGACTCGGTATAGAAGCACAACAAAGAGCTGAAATGGGCAAACCCACTGGAACCTGTGAGTGAGAGATGCTTTCTAATGCACTGTTACCTGTGCAAAATCTTTCATTTGCTCTGCAGTCTGCCAAGTCTTGCATTCCAGTTAGGGGTGTGGGGGTTCAAATATAATGTACAGATACAGTGCAGGGCCAGGAATGCTGGGTATGTTTAGCTTTTTTCACACGGGGGTGTATGTATTCCCATAATCCCCTGTCTGGCATGTCTCTTAATTTTTATTCTCTCAACATCTGCGTTTTAATCTTATCGTACTTCTAGGTTGGCAACCAGCATTACTATTAAAAGAGTTTGACATTATTTTTCAGAGCACACATGTCAAAATAAAACGGAGGTTAAATCCATGTTGAAAAGTCGAAAGAACACAACACAAGATTTTGACTGGTGAACATTCTTCAAGTGTGAGGGGGAGAGAGGTAAGGTACAAGGATATAAACCATTTGAAGAAGACTCCACTATCAAAACATTGCATTTTTTCTTTTTCATTTTCAATGTGGAATTAACCTGGACTTGTTTCACAGCTCCCCTCTTGAACCTTATTTATCAAAATATATCTGTAGTGGTTTTTTTTTGTTTGAAGGTTTAACTGTGTGAGTTTTTTTCTGTGGCATCAGTATATGGTACCTGTTTGACTTTGACGTTGTTGGCTGGAAGTGCCCTCTACAGAATTTAAAGTGATTGACTAAGCAAGCAAGCATTTTGGGTCTTTAAATGTGATTAAAGTGAATTATATTATTAAAGCGCTGCATCTTTAAACTTAAATTAGTGGCCAGAATTGCAAAATGTTAGCAAGTGTTATTCCGATAGCATCTTTTCTTTTCGGATTAATAATGAGATTATATTCTTGCTTGCAGCTGTAGACTTCATCCAGTGGAAAGGGATTTGCCATGGAGTCGTACAGAGTTGGTGGTATTCCAAGCAGCCCAATTCAGCAAGATTACATGCAGTGTGATCGCACAGGAAGATCTCAGAGCAACGGGACTGGGTCGTATGGCGTCAGCATCCGAGTTCAGGGCATTGACGGTCATCCCTATGTTGTGCTGAACAACCGGGAAAGAGAATCGCTGCCCTGCAGGCCCCAGAATGGATATTCCGGTCCCTGCAAAGACGAGGGGGAATCATTTATCGATGACTACCATGAGTATGACTTTAAGGGAAGCAAGCTCTCGTCATCGGAGAACCCCTTTGTGGAGTACAGATCTCAGAAGCAGATGCTGTTCAGCGGGTCACACAATGGGGTCACAGAGTTTAAAGAAACGCCAAGGAAGACCTCCACCCTCTTGAATTTTCAGAGGCACCCGGAGCTCTTAAAGCCTTACGATCCAGAGAATAACAGCTGGAATTTGGAAGGGTGTCACAGCCTTCCTCCGAGGCCGGCCTCCTTTGCCGAGACAGGGAGCCGGTTTGGGGGTTCCTTGCCTCCTGGGGGTTCCTTGCCTCCTAGGGCTTCTTCCCCGATACGTTCCTCAAGGTTCGAGAACCCCCAACCCGAGAATAATGCATTGGTCAAACCCAGTCCTCCAGTGTGCCAGGAGAAAGTGGGCCCACAGTCTTCCAGTGCTGCCAGCTGTTCAGCTGACACCCCCAAGCTCACTGCTGGATCTCCAAGTACCACCACCAGCAGCACCGATTCCAGTTTGGAGCGTAAAAGTCCAGGGCCTGACATCCTCCCTCTTCGCCGGTACGATTCCAGCGGGCCAGTGCTGGAGGCCTCGAGGTCCCGAAGGTCGTCGGGTTCGTCCACGACCGCGACGTCGGTGACGTCCGCCAACAAGCTCCTGCAGGACGACCAAGATGATGCCCTCTACGCGGAAAACATCAACAGGCACGAGAACAGGCGTTACATACCATTCGTGCCTGGCACGGGGCGTGACATTGACACGGGTTCCATCCCCGGGGTGGAGGAGCTCATCGACAAGTTTGACAAGAAGCACAGCCGTCAGAGAAGGGGCCGGGCTGGGAGAAGGAACAGGATCAATCCCGAAGATTTCAAACGGTCCAGAAGTGTGGACAGTGCGCTCCCCTTTGGCCTGCGGGGGGATGCAGGTTACTCGGATCGGTTCCGTGAGAATCAGGGCAAATCAACTGAACGCCTGCTCAGGCCCTCTCAGTTGCGTCAGCAGAAGGCAGCTCCGGGTTCGAGCCTGGCAGCCAAAGCCTCTCAGCCTGGCCAGCCCAGCAGTTCTGATCTCGGCAAACTCGACGACAAAGGTCCTGTACAGGACAGCAGCCTCAGGTCATCACAAGGCAGCAGCAGTGGAAAAGCAACCAATCTGGGAAGCAAGCCAGTATTATGTAGGTCTTCCACGCTACCATTTGAAAGTAAGGGATATGAAGAGGAAAAGATGCCAAGGTCTATAAAAGTGCTGTCCACCACAGTAGCTTCACCTCTGGCCAAGACTACCTGGGGGGTTAGTAAGAAGTCTGATGGAGAAAGGGACACGCAGGTACAGTATGGGCTCTGAAACGAAATGTGTGATTGGTGTTGTTGAAATGAACGTGAACCAGTTGCTGCTAAAATCAATCATTCTCAATACCGGATTTCCCAAAGATAAATCATAATCATTGGGTCAATCCGGGATTATAAGAAAGTGCTAAGAAAATGATTCTTTTTAAGTATACTTAGATACAGAGTACTGTATTTGTTTTGGAAATAGAAACAGAGGTTTTCTCATATGAAACAGACAAATTGTATTAATCCGTTTTATCTTTTGGGGTGGCCTTTCATGGTGTCATCTCAAAGCAATCTCTACCAGGCGCAGTAAAGCAGAAGAAAAAGGAAAAACTACAATGTATGGTCAGGTGGCCTTCAAGTTTTAGGTCAGATGTTTTGTGTTATTTTATGCTTTTTTTTCTTCTCACACAGGCAACACCTGATCTTTTAAAAGGTCAGCAAGAGCTTTCACAACAAACAAACGAGGAGACTGCAAAACAGATCTTATTCAATTACCTCAAGGACGGGTCAGTATATATTTATCTCTTGATGAACACTGCGCACAAATTCAGAATGGACCTTCTGTGGTGCGCGACAGTGATTGAAAGAAAAACAGGGGCCATGTTGGCTGATGTAGCTTTTTTTGATAGCTGTTTGTTTAGTGTTTCTCTTCTTGAAATGTTTATACTAGTATTTGTTCCAGGCAGGATATAAAAAATGAGAAATTCATTGCAAAAAGAGTAGTGTAATGACAGTCGATGGAATGTGAAAACATTTTAAAATTTTCAGCATGTTTTTTTATGTTTCCTTATCTGAACCTGGCTGTTAGTGATAAAAGTTGAGGTGTTCTGTATTCTTGCTCACCAAGCAAAGCAGCAGCTCTGACAGCTGTGTGCTCACACCACCCTTTACTGCTTATCGTGCGAACATTGGATCACCTTCAGGACTGTAGAGCTCGCTTCTATTTAAAACTGCTTTTGAGGGTGGAAATTAATATTTCACAGAATCGCAGGGGATTGGTGTCTAAGTTCAGCACCCTGACCTTAGAAACCGTCAAAAAGAAACGTAACACTTTCTAACTGCAGAGGAAGGCTTGCACTCTTACTGGGCTTTCAAAGAAATGAAAATCTTAACTCTTATACCATCCCTGAGGGAAGTTTTGTGCCTTGAAGAAACTGCTAGTTTCTCTTTAATTCTCCTTACACACTGTCTCCGCTAATTAAGGGAGACGCCTTAGCCCTTCTTGTCACAACATCTGTTGCTACATCTGTGGAATTTCACAAAAAGGAGGTTTTTATGTCTGCCGATACCCATCTTATATCTTCCTTTTTCTGCACCAGCAACAGCAGTAATTGTAGTCATTTGTCAGCAGGTTTTATTTGTGTTTGAATCATTTAATAACCTCGCACTTGGATGTGGGACTGAGCTCAGCGGGTTCTAGAAGGCTTTCCTCTGCAGCTGTGGGGGAAGTCTGTCTGCTTCCAACAGCCCCCCACCCTCTCATTCTGCCCTGAACATCTGGCTGAGGACACTGCCGAATGCTGCCAAAGTGCATCCTGGGTGTTGTCCCCTAGACCAAAGTGCATCTCTAAACTCTTATATGTATTTTGCTTTGCCAGTTTGGGACCCCACATAAATGTGAAGGCAGGATGGAAAAAAGGCCTGCTCATTCAACTGAATGTGGAACAATAAACCGATTAACAGTATTTTGCAGGTGTTTTCAAGGCAAGGAAGTTAACTGCAGGAAGGTGTAGTTTGTAGAGAGCCTCTTTGTCTGAGGGGTGCATTACCAATGGAAAGATCTCTCATTAGGTTTGGCAGTAGTACCTGTAGAATTCTGTGGACCCCCTGCTGTTACTTTTTAGGTTTTGTTTGGGCTCTTTGAATGCAGTATCAGCTGTGGTAGAGTTGTCCATCGGTGTATTATGATGCTTTAAAAAGCTCTGTCCAGGAAGGGTAACGAAGGCCAGGGGTGAAGAGTTAAAGCGTTGTTATCTACCGACCTGCTGGGAATGGGGGGGGGGGGGAGCCTTTCAAGACATTCCTGGAAGCCGAAATTCCAGGATTTGGGTTTGATCCATGGTGCAAAGAGATAGAAGTTGCAAATCAGAGCGTCGTCAAGCCGGGGCTTATTTTGTTTTTCAGGAGCACTGATAATGATGACACCACCAAGAAGAAGGTCAACCTGGTTTTTGAGAAAATCCAGACTTTAAAGTCGAGGGCTGCAGGGAATGTGCAGACGGACAACAAAGTAAGACTTTGTTTCCAGGCTGGGACTGGGCTCGACAAGCAGCCAAGCTGGCATATGGCTCTTAATACTGTATGTGTTCAAAATATTTTGCTTGACTGGTAACAACTGCTGCCAGGTTTGCATGATGTAATTTGTAAGTCACTAGAGCAGAACCAACGTTTAATTGCTCCTGATGTGTGAGAGAATGTCTGTAAAAGTAAAGTAAATGTGCAGTATGTGGGCAATAAGAAGTGGCTGCTGGAAACATGAGCTCGAAAGGGTTACTACAAACATTGTAAAAAATCATTATTAGACTACTCTTCACATTTCCAATGTAAAATCTCTGGAAAATCACTCCACTAGTTCACCATTTTTAGTCTGCACTGGGCCTCTTCTCTCACGTTCTACACAACGACCCAGAGAAACGAGTTTGCGCGAGGCCCGTCCGACGCCGTGTAACGAGTCGGCGTTGTTTTCCCGTCGCAGACCCCTGACTCCTCGGGCGAAGCGAAACTACTGCTGGAGCAGAGAAACGAACTGGAAAGAAAGGTCACGGAGCTGAGAAAGCAGCTGGAGGAAGAAACGAAGGTATTTTTAATGCTGCACTTCATCTGTGGTATTTTAACGTCTGTCCAGAGGAGGTAAGAACTCGTGTCAGTCCAGAAGACCGATAATGGTAAACCAGGGCAGGCCAGTCCCAGGCCTGGAGCACCGCAGTGTACCAGGTGTTGTAGGTCACTTTGAATCCTAAAAGGCTTAGGTAGAAGACCTAGAAGAGGACTGGTACTTCTGTGCTATTATACAAGCAATGGCTTCCGTACATAAGGCCTTGTGCAAATCTGAAGGGCAGAAATGGACATGCCTGCCTTGGCCTATATGTGTATTCTGGGACACTGATGCCAATGTGAAGCACAGTTACCAGGCGGTGCCCTGCAGGGCAGTACAGCTATTTCTGCTGTTCGGATTGGCATCATTGAGTTTCTCTTCATTTCAGACCCACAGGCGCCTGACTGAGACGAGGGAGAAGGCCGAGGCAGACGTGACGGAGCTGCAGAAGAATCTGGAGCGGAGTCAGGAGGAGTGCAGCAAACTCAGGGAGCAGCTTTCCAAAACGGAGAAGGAGCTGCAGGTCACAGTTGAGGAGTAAGAGCCGGTCAGGTCCTTTCACAGCCCTGTGGCTGCAGTTCACAGATAGGGATTGTTTTTCTCTGACTCACACTTCTGCAAATGACGGTGTTCATCACCCGTCTGTGGTTTTTGTTAGTCTGTGTTAATCTTTTTGCATTTCATATGGCCTACTAGAAATGTTTTAATTATGTAAAGTAAGAGGTAAAGGTTTAGTCCGTGCTAAAGGAAAAGAAAAGAGACGATGTTTTGGCTCTGGAGTCTTCCTCGGGTTCCTTTGCAGCCTACGCGTGCTGATGCAGCTACCTACTCGAATTGTTTTAATTATTACTCTACATGGATGAAGGGTGTTCTTTTAGTCATGAAACATTATGCATTCACACCTTAACACCCTCATGCGAATCCTGTTTAGGCTCTTTGTCCTGTAAATAAAAGAGACCGCAAAAAAAAACAATCCCAAGCTGTGCTTTTCATTGACAGACTGTCCTTGCAGTCCTCAGCCTCTCCCCCTGTCGTTTTCTCGGTTAACTGTTCAGGCCACGTTCAAAGCCCCACCAAGCGATGTATTGCTAAAATTTAGATACCCTTGCAGAATTTTCTTCAGTTTCTGCAAGGCTAATCCCATAAGCTTCTCCCATCCAAAACAGTATTTTAATTCTCTTAATAAGGGAGTACAATAGAGCCCAGCCTATTGATAGGATAACGATGGACTGGGGATTCCAAAGCTCTGCAACTCTAGTTGGAGCTGTAGCTGTAGCCTAAGCTTTAGGATGTGAAGCTAGATGTGTCACAAAACAATACAAAATTGTGCCACTGGAGAGCACAAGCCATGAAGAACTTTAATGAAATTCAGAATGCAATTTAAACATGCTTAAAGGCTAGATTGGATATAATTCAGCAGGCAACTCGAGAGAATGGTGACCTGTTATTCAAAAGACCCATAACCCTCTATTTTCAGTCGCTCCTGAGAGATGGTTAGAAGGGCTCATTCATTACAATGCAGAGCCCAGGGAGCAATGTAATTTTACCACCTTAAGATGGAGCCAAGCTGTGTAGTGCTTTGTATGTGAATAAGAGAATCTTAGGACTTGCGGGAATGTGACAGGCAGGCAGTGTGGGTTTTCAGGGATGGGGGTGACTGGTGCTCTAGTCGATGTGCCCAGGCTTCTCTTCAGTACCGGGATGGTGCCTTGCAGGCTGTTCCAGGTAAAGATGGAGAGGGAGCAGTATCAGACGGAGATCCGGGACCTCCAGGATCAGCTGTCGGAGATGCATGACGAGCTTGACAGCGCCAAGACAGCCGGGGCTGATGAGCAGGAGAAAGAGGCTATTCTGGAGGTAGGGCTTGAATCCACGGCTTTTTCTACGACTGAATTCTGTAGCAACGTGCCTGCACTTGCTTAACCAATTAAAATGGTAAAATTGGGAAATGTTTATTAATCTCTTTACTCAGCTCTGTTCATTTATATTTTTCCAATGAAACTTAAAGCATTTTTTTTTGTTTTTCCTTATACACAGGGAGATTCATGACCGTTTTGGATTTTTTTAGCTTTTTAAACAATGAATTTCTCCCAGAATACTTTTGCAAAACCTTTAACAAAGATGATATTGTAGACACATTTGGAAACTTATTATGATGACATCAGGAAATTTCTCTTTATAGTTTTGTAGCTTCGGTCAGCAGAAATACATTTTGTATTGTAGTTCTTATAAACGGCATGTTGTATTTAGTTAAACTTCTACAATACGCACCTAGGCCACTTTCCACATTGCTAGGAAAATAGGTTGCTTTGTGTTTTACTGCTTGTCAAATCCTTGTACTTGGAATGTGATATGCTCAGAGCTCCTGGCAGAAAAGACTGTCAATCTGAGAGCAATGTTTAATTCCAGGGTTGTTTTGGTGAACAATTAGATTGACTGTTAGACAGTGCTGAGACTGGTTGTTTATTTTGTTTATTTTTTGGAACGCTTTATGTGAATGCAGCTAAAGATCACGATTGTAGCTCCTTAATCTTCTTTTGGCATAACAACATGCATAATCCTTTACAACTGTTTGTGCAGATAACATTACAGGAATGTGATTATTATTTATAACAAGAAAGTTTTGACTGACAGCTAAGAGCAAAACTTCAGGCTGAAAGAAGTGGTATTTTACTTTGCTAAGTGGTTTCTATACATGTGTTTTTGTGTTTTATAGTGTTGATGCATGAGTTACAACTGTGTTTTTAGCCTCATTCAGGTAGAGTGTAACTGTCATTTTTTTTGGCTGATCTTCATTTTTGTGAACCCATCAAAATGTCAGACGGAATTTAGTTTGTAGCGGGTTTTTTTTTTTTTGCCCCTGCAATGTTCTTCAGGATATGTTGCAGCTGAAGCTGGATTTTCAGGAGATGATGATTGTGAAGGAGGACCAGGAGGAGGTGCTGAGGAGGAAGGAGCGGGAGCTGACTGCCCTCAAGGGGGCCCTGAAGGAGGAAGTGTCCAGCCGTGACCAGGAAGTGGACAAGCTGAGGGAGCAGTATGAGGAGGAGCTGCGCAGGCTGTGTGTGTCAGTGGAGGAGGCTGAGGAGGTACGGAAATGAGGCTGCAGCAGCTGCTCACACGTGAATATTTGTAGCTTTAACTACAAATATTTTCTTAGTTAAAGAGTGATGAATTTTAGACTTGCTCACATTCGTGTTTAAAAAGCAGTGTGCTTCCTTTTTTATTTGTCTTTAATATGTAGAAGTGCTTTCATTGCTTTGAATGTGATCCTATGTGAATTTCACAGAAAGAGGCTGGCTTACACTTTACAGAACTGAATGGAAGATTTAAAGTTGTGATTTATGTTTTCTACAATTGTGTTAATTTATTGAATAATGTTATGTTTTTCTTTTTAAAATGAACTCCTGTCGTGAAGTCAGTCTTCCCACTAAAGTTTTTTTCTGGGATCCTGTTGATGGGTTTAAATGACTTTTTTCTGTAAAATGAATGGACAGCAAAAGTTACTTTAAGCCTTTGGCTTTGCAATATAACGTGCCATTCTGATGAATTTATCACCTGTTTTTTAGCAGAATGTCATCCACTGTAATTATTGCCTAGGAGGAAAAGAGGAAGCTTTGGTGCTCTGACAATTAGTTGGGATATGATCAAAGGTGTTTAATCATTAATGTTTAGCATGAACAATTCCAGACCTGGGGTGCTACCTGTGTGGAGTTTGTATGTGCTCCCCTGTTCCAGTAGGTTTCCTTCAGTTTCTCCAGTTTCCTCCCGCAGTCCAAAGACATGCTTGTAGGTTAACTGGCTTCTGTGAGAATCGGTCCTGGTGTGAGAGTGTGCTTGTCTGTGTCTGTATGTGCCTTGTGATGGACGGGCGTGCTGTCCAGGAAGGATCCTGCCTTGTGCGCTTTGTTTGTGAGGTTGGGCTCCGGCTCCGCTGTGATCCTGTACTTTTTCTAAGTGGTTAGAAAGTGTAAGGATGGGCTGCTTATTAAAAATAAAAACGACTCGCCCACACAGGAGTATGGCCATCCTCTCACGGGAAACTCCCTAGTCATCTTTCATGGGAATTGCTGACCCCATACAAACAGATATTGTTCCCGGGTGAAGTAAGATTTTGTTTTAGAGTACATAAGCTAGGTTTTCCATTAGTTCATTTGTACTTCACCTTGCAGTCTTGTATGTCTAACCCGGACGTAGAAAACTACACAGGAAGCAAAAAAAAAAAAACGAAACGCCTGCCTGTATGTTCATATGTAGTGAGTCTTCCACTGATGTCCCTGACTCTGGTGCGAAACTTTGATGTATGTTCACGTGAGCATGCTTCCTGTTTGTTCAGGCTCTCTGGTCTTCAGTATCCTGTGCTTTTTTTTGGATGGGGGGGGGGCAGCTTCCTTGTGCTGTAACTAGAGGTAACATTCATCCCCATCTGCTGAGGTCATTGCCCTTTTCCGAACACAATTTCCTTTTCTGAGGCTGCGACAAAAAAATCTGCTTGGTTATGTATTTTCCAGCCTTTGAGGTCTAAATGTCTGTTTTCTTTTTGTTTCCGAGTTGCACTACAGGATGCAGTGCAAAGTGCTCATGAAGTATTTGTTTCCAAGCTGTAGTTTTTTTTTTAATGGCTCATTTACGTGTCAAAGCCCAGCTGATTGACCCTGAGACAGCTCTAGGCAGGAGCTGCTACGACTCTTCAGAATAGTTTGGTAATTAAAGAGTGATGAATTTTGGAATTCATATTTAAAAAGCAGTGTTACTTTTTTGTTTGTGCTTAATATCTAAAAGTGCTTGCATTAGAGTGTGATCCCATGTGAAGGAAAGTAGACTGTTAAACCTGTTTGCAAACAGCTCTTTTTTGCCCTGTTAGGCAGGGCTGCTGGTAGTGTCCCTGGGCTCGTCCCACTGTGATTTTCTGTCCTGCTTTGTTTCACAATGTCACTCTCCTCTTTCTACTTCATCACATTTGCATTGATACCGCAGACCCATGCAGAGAAGAATGTGGGAGACTGGAGCACTAAATTGCTCCCTTTGCCGTTTAATTGCAGTGGCAGGCCATCGCTAATGAGCTGTTGTTCGGTCTCGCTGTATTCTTCCCTTGAAAGAACCATAATTGCGGGTGACAATTAATGAACGATGAGTTTGTTTCAGACTATAATAACAGGTCTGGCAAATTCAAAATAAGTGGGTCAGTGTGCTTGTGAGTGGGGACTATTAATAGTGCTGTATGATAACACTTAACTGGTTTTACATCTTTAAGAACGTTTTATTTTAATAATGTATTTCCAAACATTAATACAGGTTCTGTTGGTCTATAAGTGTCTAATAAAATGATGTACTATAAGTGATGAGGGAAAATAAGCATGTGATGTATCAAACTACAAGAGTAGTAATGAGGAAACCAAGGTCAAGTTCCTAAAGGGCCTGGTGCCTTTGGGCCTTTGGACCAACCTAAAAACTGTTTTAAAACAATCAACCAAAGTAGTTTCTTGGTAACTGGAAGATTACGTTTTTCTCAAGATTATATTAAATTTATTGTTCAAAATGTTGACAGTATTAAAGGTTCACAGTTGCCTGTAAAACACCTTGAGGCCTGGCTAGAAATATTCCAATGCAGTTAATTGAATAATTAGGTAACCTATGTGACAGAGCTCAGGTGGAATATAAGCCAGAGGATGTTAGACCCTCTGGGAGTGGAGTTGGAGAGCCCATAAGTGGGTGCATGTTCTCCGTCTAATTTTTCACTCTTGTTGGTCCCTGGGTGGATGTTCAGTAACACAGTAAACAGTGTCTCTTTATTTTCTGTACCATATTCCATTAATCTGTTAAAGATAGTGCTATAGTTCTTACTCACTTCTATCAAAAATCTGTTCATTTCTTTGACTGTGATGGACTCAATAAATAGGATTTCACTGTAAATTAAAAATATTGTGCTTTTATCTTTACTTAACTAAATTGAAAGAGGTGACATGTTTTATTCCGTTCTGTTTTGAACGCTGAAAGCAGTCTATAAAAGCGTTTTGAAGCGGATGAAGGGCGGTTATGAGAAGAGATGAACGTTGAAGGCAAGGAACAGACTGTTCTTGGATACCTAACCGTCAGTGGGTGTTAAATACCTCTTCACGGCACGTCGCGGAATTGGTTTCTCCTCCTCCCAGACTCCATTGCCTGTGGTCTTTCCAGAAGATTCCACCGCTCTCTTTCCAGAGAATGTAATTCCTGATTATAAACAGGTTCTCACCATCGAGTGTGGGATGTCATTCTCTCATCGCAAACGTGAATGTTTGCTTTTGTGCGTGTGTATGGGTTCATCATTGCAGGCATGCGGCCATCGCGTTGCCTTGTGAAGTTTGTTTAGGTTGAACAGAATCCAGGGGAAGATGGTGTGTTTCCTCAGCTGATGAAAGCTGTGTTCTGGGCCTTCCTGCACAGTACTGATTTAGTGCGAGTACGTGGGGGGGATCCCTGCCAACAATATAGTGCGAGTCATTGCAGGAGGTTAGTAAGTGTAGATCTGGTTCCCATCAAGAGGGTTTTATCTCATTGGGGTGTAGGGCCTGTGAAAGGCAGTGCACAAAAGTTGTGAGTTTTTTGCTTGAGTTGTAGAGTACTGTACTTTCTAGCGATTTTTGGGGCATAAATGAAAGACAGGACTTTAGCTTGAGGGTTGAAGGTGGGGAACAGTGGTCCTGGCTGCAGGAGAGCTTCAGCTCATTGCCCGTGAACGTGGGGCTCTGTCCTGGCCTGAAGACTTCTGGGTGTGTGCCTGGCTGGACATCTTGCCTTCCAGATTGTGAGCCTTTCAGACACCCACTGGGTGTCCAATTGGACACACAAATCCAGAGATGTAACCTGATCTCGCCTCTGAGGGGAGCAGAAACATGCCACAGTTTTCTTCTTCTCTTATGTGCGTCCTTGGAGAACACCACTCCCTCCCTCCCTCATGTTTTGCACCTGGGCTGCTTTTTTTCTCCATTTGACCGGAGAACTTTTTTTTTCCCTCTTCATTTTTCTTTTTTCCAGCTGATCAAATTGTCCTCCCAGAAATCATTCCTTCCTCTGTGCTGTGGGGCTTTTTCCTGGTGATTGAAATTTGGTTTCTCACACGCATTGAAGGCCCATGCAACATCCTCTCAGGGCTAAAGGGATTGTGAACTCAGAAATTCGCAATTACTCCTTTGCAGAACACAGGCTCTCAAGTTAATAGCTGAAATCCTGCCGTTAATCTTAGATTGGCCATCAGACTGGGGGAGCAACTGTGGGGGGGTGGGGTGGGGTCCTGGGGACATGTCTTTGTTCTGGAAACCTGTCTGGGATTCGGTTTAGATAGATAATACTTTATTAATCCCGTAGGGAAATTGATGTTTGGGTTTGCGCCCTTGAGTCTTGAACAGTGGTTTTCAGCTACAACATCTATAAACTAAGGGGTATCGACTATTTGCTTCTTGAATACTTTTTTTTTAGTAATACTGCTCCTGTGAGGGAGCGGGGGTTCATCACCTGCGATCTTTTTGAAAATGTTCAGTCATCTCAGGCAGTAAAATATTAATTTATCATACTTTGTAGTGCATGTGTTAACAATTCAGGCTTCTGCTGTCTAACGATGCTGTCTATTATCCAAGTATCCAGTGAAATGTCCCCTCCCCGCCAAAGAAAAACAAACACGCATACACATCACCTTTTCTTCTCCATCTTGGATAATATGATTTAAATAGAATGGAACGGCGCCACACTCTCCCTGTAACAAAGGTGACCTTGTCGGGAGTGTCAGAGAAGTGTCAATAGCAGTCCCTGAAGCTTTGGTGTGAAAGGGCTGCAGCTCCACAGTCCAGAGAACGTGTTTCATTCACGTGGACAGGGCAGCGGCGGCTCCAGCCAGGCTAGCAGAATGGTCGTCTCCCGGCTGAACTTCACGCACAAATACAGATCCAGTAAAAAAAAAAAAGCACTGCTGTAATCTACTGTAATCTACCGTTGCTTAAACATTTTATAGACTGCTAAAATCCATGATTTTATGTTATCTGAATATTACACTCAGCTGAGCTGCATAAACTCCCCCCCCCCCGGTGTAAGATCCTGTTTAATTTGATGGGTT